GGCACGGAGGCGACTCCATGAGTGTACGGGGAATTAAGCCTATATATAACGAAAAACATCAAATAGATAGCCCCGGTGTCTGTAGAAGGTTAATCTGATTGGGCCATTCGGTTTATGTGACGAGGACGGCAAAGCGTCAGGGGCAGAGACACTGCGCCACTCTAGAATCCAATCAGCTTTGATCAGCCCCAATATCGCACAAAACCTACACGCCAGCTAACAGAACGGTATATGTACAAATACCAGACTCCGGTCTCGTCTTGCAACCCACTTGATGCTTCAGATGCTTCAAAAGACTCTAACTCTGAGGACTACTTCACAATGTTTGATTTAATGTTCATCTTCTTTGCCTTCATCGTGGCTTACTGTGCTGCCATGCCTGCTTCTAAGACAGCCGTCTTCGTCCAATCATCTCATATCGAACGAGCGGCATCTCCAACTACAGCAAGTCCCGCAGCCGAACCAACTGTTCAAATCAACTCTATAAGCCAGCAATACATCACTATTGACGGAGTCACCAATTCATATGTCAATATTGCTCCTCAGACGATCACTCTAAATGTCCCCACTTGTATTCAAACAATAACACCCGATGCCAACGGCTACGTGCCCCCTGGTACTTGTGGCGCCCTTTGGGATTACTATCCAAACTTTGCGGCTGCATTACTCTTCGCGGTGCTGTTCGCAACCTTGACGGTCATTCACATATGGCAGGCGGCACGATACAAAAAGGTCAGTACCATTATGGCTGTTGGGGGGCCCATTAAAGGCTGACCAGATGGGCATCGTGGTCTTTGGAAAACAGGGTTTCTGTTGGGTGATTATCATGGCTAGCGTCTGGGAGACAATGGCGTTTACTTTTCGGGCGATTAGTACGAAATATCAACAAAGCACGGGGGTTTATCTTGTTTTCCAAGGTTTCATCTTGTTGGCCCCATTGTGTGAGTTCTTTTTGGCTGTCACATTGACTGAGGTGGGACTGGACGGATTCTTGGTTGTTGCTAATATATTACTAGGGGTCAATGCATTCGACTACATGATATTTGGCCGTATGATATACTATTACCTTCCATCCCGCCGCTTGCTCAAGATAAGAGCGCCAATCATTGCTTCAGTTTTTGTCGGCCTCGACATAATATCATTTATTATTCAACTTGTTGGCGGTAATATGGCCGGTCCTTCGGCACCAGTCGAGGATCAACTGCGAGCCATACACATCTATATGGGAGGCATCGGCCTCCAAGAACTTTTTATTGTTGCTTTCCTTCTATTGGCCATAACATTCCATCGTAAGATGAACTCCCTAGAGGGCACTGTCGCAACAAGGAAAGGCTGGAGACCATTGCTATTGACATTGTATGTGTCACTATCTTTGATCACGGTTTGTTCTTCTACAGGTCTTGCAGTTCAGAACCGAGTCTAAAGTCAGTACAGGTTCGAATCGTCTTCCGCCTCATTGAGTTTTCTCGTGGTTCGGGTGTCTCGAACCCGCTTTTGACCCACGAGGTGTATTTCTATGTACTTGAGGCAGTGCCAATGTTCTTGGCGCTTTTGACATTCATTGTTGTGCACCCAGGTACTGTACTTGTAGGCCCAGAGGCTAACATGCCGGGCTTCTTTTTCACATTGAAAGGGTGCTTTACGGCTAGGAAGAGGAATAACGAATGGAAATCCTTGTCTGATGGTGAGGAGCTAATAGGAATGGACCAGCGTTAAAACACAGAAATAGGAGGAGGTGGGAATCTGCTTTCTGGGCCAGGTGTCCTCCACTGCTTTATGTTGGGAAGGTACTTGCAGATTTGACAACTATCGTGTTAAGCACATAGAGATTCGCACAAATCGTTACTTGTCAATTACCAAACTTGTTATTGATCAAATATAGTACATATTTGCGATTATTCATCATATGGCCATATTCTTTTTTATTGAAAGCTTCGTAAATAATCATATAAAGAATACCAGATCACACATATGATCGCAAGAAGCTGACAATATGAAGATATTACCAAGGATATAATTTTAGCCCATTTAGACAATGTTATGAGTCCCTTAGACATGTCTGCCAGTTCAATCTATCACTGAACATCAAACGTAGCTTGTTTCGACCACTTGGATAGCTACTTCATGGTCCAGTTTCTCCTTAGCGACCTCATCCACGCTCATGTCTCCAGCATGCCCAGTGCACACATAATCCTTGAACTTTCGGGCCGGGATACACTATTCATTTCAAGTTAGCGGATATTTGGACAATGTAACAGGGACAAACTTACATTCAAGAACATCTCATCAATCTGCTCAAGGGTTCTGTCTTTGGTCTCAGGAAGCTCAAGGAAAACCCAAATAGTGCCCAGAATTGTACAGCCACCAAATATGAAGCCGATTTTAGTGCCAAGGTAGATGTACTGAGTGCTCGGAAGATACGGAGAACCACAGAAAATGAAAATAGTACAAAGCCATTTGACAGTCGTAGCAATAGAGACTTTTCTGGACTGGAGACTAACGGACGGAATCTCGCCAATCACAGCTTGCGGCACCGGGCCCCAAGTTGCTTCATAAGTGAAAATATAAGTGCAGCTGAAGGTGATGAGACATCTAGATGCCGCGACGCTGCTTGGTTTTGCAACGCCAACAATAGCGATGATCAGCATCGAGATCGAGCAGAAGATTCCACCTCCAATAAGTAATGGCCGTCTGCCAAAGTACTTCACCAATGGGAAAGCTGAGGCAGATCCAGCTAGACCACAATACTGCTGATGACAGTGATCAGGAAGGCATTTGATATGCCACTAGTCGCGAAGAAGTAGGTATTGTAGCTGTGTATAAGTATTAGCTAACCGTCTTCCCAGATCAAAAGATTTCTCATAATACCCTGTGATGAACGAGATTGCCGTGAACTGTTGTACGACCAAGGTAAGAATTGCGATTCTTGTTCGCCGATGATCTGTCCCTTTGAAACAATCTAGATAGGACGAAGAAGCTTCAAGTTCTTGCTCGATCTGATCCATGGCTACCACCTCACGTATTTCTTCGGATACGTCATCTTCAGACCAAGTTGGTCCCCGCAGCTTGTACATTGCAGAGTACGCGTCGTCGACACGGTTTCGATGTACAAACCATCCTTGCTGTTGTTAGTCTTGAGGGTAACCCTTGCTTTGCGGAGTGATTAACTCACTGGGAGTCTCCGGAATAAACGGCAGGAATGCGAGCATAAGCAGTGGCGCACTTAGCCATCAACGGGGCTCTCCAAGCCCATTTATTGGGTATATAATTTGTTCCTTCATTGATACAAGCTCCGACGAACTGTGCAAGATTGATGAATCCTTGATACATCATTCTGGTAGCGATCGTCAGCCTGCCGCCCCATACGAATCACTCATTGAGTGAATTCTGCGCTAGGTTTTTCGTAAGAATCTTCGATGTGTTGTATGTTATGATGTACGATAACGTCTGGCTCTGTGTTACTCAATCCCACCTTTTGCTTCACCGCGTTGAAAAGAGTTGCGAGAACAATTACACCTGTCGCGACCCACACTCCCCATTGGCCCACAGAGGACATACTTTCGACTGATGGTAAATCAACTTGCTGGAAGTAGATCTCCCCTGTCACCATGATGAAGATTGTCATGGCGGGAAGGATGATCGTCAGCATTGAATGAAGCGCGGATGCCATCGTCCGCAGTTTGGACGGCCCGCTTGCTGTTGCGATCTCATTCGTACTGTGTTCAAGATCTCGATGACGTAAAGCAGCTGGGAGAGCGTTAGATCTAGGAACGGCCGTAGCCATTATAGCAAGAGCCGCAAATACGACACCAGAGATGCCGACCCGTTGCACGAAAACAGCCGCTTTCGATCCCACGCGACCTAATCCTGGCACACTCGTTGTCGTTCCCCACACATGCGCTATATCCAGTTCCACGCCATGACAAATGGACCCCGATATAGGCGACTGACTGATAACCAGGCGGTCCAACTTTAATGTCCCAGCAAAAGCCAGTATACAGCCAACTGCCACAATAACGGCCCAAGCCCGCACCAGTCCCCTAGCTGCTGATTCGCTACCTCGCCTCGACACCAAGAGCAGCCAACAGGCGACGAGGACGGCAAGTGCTAACGCTTGCAAACAGACAAGCACGTCAAGCGGCAGCGGATATGATTGATCATGACGATGACGCGTGAGAGCGCCTAATAGGACGGCAGCATCCACTGCAAATATCGCCGTGCGTGTGGTGATTGCTGCCAGCGCTGCTCTGAATAACCACCCACGCGGTAGAGGCGCAAGAAGCGTAGCAACGAGGGCATATGTATGTGCTCGAGGAAGAAGTGCGTAAGGGCTGGAGAGCGCCTCTGCACATATCGTCCGACCTGTATCGGTAGCCATGCTTCAATCGAGGACGTCGGCAATGCTGACTCTGATAATGGACGGAGGTCGCCAAGATCTTTAGGTACTGATTGAAATGTGAATGTGTAGAGCACTCAATTCATGATGCCCTGGGTAGTACCTTTTTCTTTTCTAGACTCTGTTTTTCTTTCCCGTGAATTTCTATCCTGTTGCCGAGGCATAGAGATTGTTCAAGGCAGACACCATGGCTGCCTCTTTCATTTTATGACGACTCAGACCTGGAATTCCAATGCTAGGCGCTGGTACTGCTTTCAGCCATTGGAGCTATGGTTTTGGTTGGGATTGCCAAGCTTCAATTGGTGGTGGCTGTGTATGAGCTGTGAAGCTAATCAGGAGGCGCGTTTTAGAGAGGAAGGTTGCGCTTGAGACATTCAAAACGAGGTGCGATGTGCTAATAAAATGCACTAGCATGACGAACCTCAATTGGTGGAGTGTCCTGACGAGAACCTGGGAAATCTGTTGCAATGTTGTGGCTTGCATTATTTACTTGTAGAACTCTAAGCGATCACTTCAAGCTTTGATGATTTACATAAGGCGTCAATAACTTCCTTTGACGTATGCCGACGGCATTGCTGACACTTCTACAGATCTTGGACGCCTTCTAACAAGTCCAGTCACTGTATCGAGGGAATAGACCGAAACAGTTCGCGTAAAACGTTACCGTCGCCGCCCAGTCCGAAAAGATAGCAAGGACACCGACTTCGCGCGCCAATACATCGACCAGTCTATACACGTCGCCATCGCTGTTTGTCGCGTTCGCGATGCTGGTATAGTAGTACCCACCGTGCGAACCGTCGCCTAGGAAGCCACTGCGCTCCAAGCTCCAAGTCACCAATTTCAACCCAAGTCTCTTGGCCTCGATAGCGTACGGACTCGGTACGATCTCATTGTTCTCGTCGACTGTAACGAGATATGGCAGCGGGGGTGCCATGATGTGTACACCTGCAGCAGCATAGGTGCTCAGATTGGCGACAGCTTGCACGAAAGTTTCTGGCGTGTCGCCGCTCTCGTCAAGGAAGAGCACCTGCTTGGCAATTGACGGTTCGGCCTTGATCCAGTACAGTATGTCGTCGTAGAGGAAGCTCTGCGGCCAGACGCGTTTCAAGCTGATACCCATCTCTTTGTATTCATCAATCATCTGCTGCGCAAAGACCTCCTGCGTATAGTCGGGCGAACCGAAAGGCATAGGAACCTGAGGTGTCTTCAGTTCAGGAGTGAACTGCAACCCCAGTGAGTCCGTAAGCGTGATGTACTCCTTGTGCGTCATGACAGTGCCGCAGGTGGCGTACAGGTCGGTACGATAGTTTGGTGTTCCGTCTAGGTACTCCTCGGGGGTAGTAGCGGCCGTGTTGGCACCGTCCATCTTGCCGCAGAGCGACTTGAACTCGGCAAGCGTGATGTCGCTTGTGCAGCACTTCGCAGTGGCAGCCTTGCCATCAGCGGCGGGCTGGAACGGCGTGGTGCACTTGGCGTTCAGCTCCGGAATAGCGACGATGTTGGTCGTTGTGTGCAAGTCGCACTGATCGTGGCGGCACACGAGCTGCTTGTCAGATGTGAAGGTGACATCACACTCGTTGATACCGATGCCCATTCGGGCACCAGCCAGCATTGACTCCTTTGTTTCCTCAGGGATCATCATCGTGCCGCCACCACGATGGCCAATTGAGAACGCGGATGGCTTCATCTCAAGCTCCGAGCAAGACTCCAGCTTGTCCTTGAGGGCGCCTTCGGTAAGATTATTGATGAGGAAGTATGGGCGAGGGCCAAGCTGAACTCTCTCAACGGGCTTGATCACGTCTTGCTCTGCGCGGACCTGCGGAGCAGCGACAACATGCTGGCTCAACGCCGTGAGGCCGGCGGCAGCGAGCGTGAGAGACGTCGTGCGCATTGCAAATATACCCGTCAATTGAATGACAGTTAACCGAATTGAATCGAAATTGGACAGGATTGACTTGCTGTGAGCACGACGAAGACCCAAAGCGCAGCAGAAACCAGCTTCAGAGACCTGGAGCTCGATTTATGTATTATCGGAGCTCCCACGAGCCTGGTCATAGACCTACAGCTTCACGCCTAGCTCATACGGCTAGGCTAGGTCATCTTGCATTTGGAACCCTGGCCTGCCTTTCCTTCGAGCACGTTTTGCGCCAACATGCTGGAGCTTCTGCGCTGGGTCAACCCAGGATCATGGTGTGGGTTCTGCTGCAGGACCGGAGGCTTGGGCCAAGGACCATGCAACAGGGCCACACATTTGGCATAGTATCATGTGCGGGATATCTTATCTAGCAGATCAAGAGCCACTAGTACAACCCTTCCAGAATCGTTGACGCCGCTTTTAGCTCCCACCTTTGCATAATTTTACATTATTTACCTGCCTATGAACATGTTTTCTACTAGAGTAGTCAACCAGTCGCTGTTACTAAATGCAAAAAAGTATAAGAATTAGTATAAGAAGAGTATCTATATTGGATATGTGAGCTTAGCACTTGATATTGCTTGACTATTCCACAAGTTCTTCACAAGGACTCTTGATACTAGATACAAGCAGCAGCGGCTTGCTGACCCTGCCGTGTAATCTTCGATGACTTATGGACTTGCAAGTGTGGAGATGGAGCAACTCTGAAAATCTCCTTTGTATTATAACCAGCTGACTGGTATATTTTCACATATGTCGTCATTATTTTAGACGATGTTTGTCGCGTTGCACGGTCATTACAACTGTCCCGGTGTCTTTACCTATACCTAGGCGACGCATCTAAGGAAAGCGGTCTCTCCGGGAAAAGAAAGCCAGTCGTCAACCTCAGAGAGTCACTATGTCAGATACTATGACAGTCAGTATCACGATGCTTTGGCCGTATCGATTTCCGGCGTGATACAAGTGCACATCGTACATCGAAGCGGAGCTCTGGTCCTCACGGAAGACTGGATATCTAAGGATCATTTTTGTACGACTCTACGTGAGTGGACACACTCAACTCGCAGGCTCAATAGAGTCCTTCACGTTGTGTATCAAGATCGCGGAACTCGCGAAAATCCATCACGACCGACCGTATTTCGACTACCGAGGATGGAAGAACAATGGCAATGTCTATAGATGACGTGGTGAAAGACGATCCATCTTATCACTAGTGAGACAGAATGCTGACAGTATTTTGAAGTATAAATATGCAGGATAACCCTACCGTTCAATGAAATCTTCCATTTTCATATTGAAATCAAATTTCTCTCCCTTAGACCTTGTCTCTTTGTTCAAACAACAACCGAAATGTTCGCCAACGCCAAGGTTCTCGTCCTGCTCCTTGCCGCAGAGCTCTCAGCCGCCAACGTAGTCGCACGTACCGACTCAGGCCTTGAGATCATCGACTTATCCGACCCCGTAGCAGCAGCGGCAGCAGGCCATGGCTGCGCAGCGCCCGGAGCCGTCAACGGACAATGCGGACGCTACTACCGCAGCGGAGGCTGCAACGACCAGATCGGATCCATCGATCCTGGAGATGTGCGTGAAGCCGCTTGCCCCTTTTCTTCCCTTAGGCAGCATTGTTGACGTCTTTCGTGACGCCAGTGCGAAGGTAAATGCTACAAGCACCCAGCCGGTATCCGCAGCGTCAAGGCCATTGGCGACGGCACCTACGGCACCAACTGCCAGCTGTTCTCGGACGAGAAGTGCAGCGATGGGAAGGAGCTAGGGGAGACGGGCAACGCTATCTTTGTCACGGATCAGAGGTGCTACACCGCGCCGGGCGATAAGAAGGGCAAGAGCTTCCGCTGCTGGTTCAAGTGCTGAAGAGATCTTGAAGTGTTAGCGGGTGAGTTGAGGAGAGCAACGGGAAATTTGGAAGTCAATGTCCACGCTCGACCTGTAGCTAAATGTTTCAAACTTAAGTGCGCTTCAAGTACCAGCAATCCTTGCAAAATACAAATACATTCGTTTTATGCTGTATGGTACTTACTATCCATGTCATCTTCGACATATCGGCGCCTTGCACAATCTTGCATAATCCGAGTCTACCAGAGGCCCCAGGTAAAAGCAGCAAGGGAACTAGTCTCCATCCATTACCAGTTCTCAGTACCATGCACAAGAAACATCCAAGCTGCTCATAGAAACGCAAGGCCGGATAGAGGACCCGTCCTAGGATTAACGGACGTCCCGGGATGCACGTGTGAAAGATGGCAGCAGATGTCTGGGCCTGGCTTTCTTATCGAGGGCTGCCAAGGATCTGCCAAGACGGCCCAAATGATGAACTGCAGGGGCACCTTCGGGGCGTGCTAGGATCGCAGAGTGTCATTGGCCATCACCGATTCCAACCAGATAAAACATTCTGCCAGCCTTTTCACGACTGTATCTCGTGGGGAGCCGACCGGTGTTAGTCGATTTATGCTTATTCAGTCAAGCCCGTAAATCCGCTGTTCCCCCGGACTGTTGGGCCCGAGTGTGGGGTTCCGAATGCGGGTCTAGGCGCCGGGAAAGCTCTCACGCTTGTCTGTGGCCGCTTTCCCGATCCGGCCAGCTCTGTTCGGTCTCCATCTCGCTGTTCACGGTTATTTCAAACCAAAAGATCACTTAGCATACACATCACGGCACAGGCAAAGTGCGCTTTCATTTTATGGATTGCAAGCAATATAAGTGGTATTAGGTAAGATCGTTTCAAGGGTAAGGTATTGAAGTGGTGACATCATTTTGAGACCTGTGCTTTGCCTGGCCGAATGGCCCTGCCTTGAAACGCCGAAACCCCAGCAAACTCAAAAAGGTATCAAGAAACAAGAAAATATTCAGAAACTAGCCATCGCGCCGAAAGAGCCGATTACCAGTAAAGGGCAACAATCAAAGAAAGGTATCTTTTTATTGCACAGTGCCATCTTTCCCCCCTTGTGTCTTCTCAGCCAAAGTGGCGCACCAGGAAGAATGCTTTGTGCATTCTGATACGCAGATGTTGTTCGCATAAGGCGAGAATTTTAAGCACCGGCGTAGGTAGGGCCGTGGTGGTGGTGCTTGGTGCCTGGAACATCGGGGGTGTTGTGGCCGCGAGATCGGAGCGACTCAATGGCGTCGAGAACAACGAGCACGGTGAAGATGATCCTATTTCCAGCATTAGCTGCGAGTCTCGCCTAACAATTCTTCCCGAAGGTCACTTACCATAGGAAGAAGCCAAAGGCAACGGCGGCTTGCAGGCTACCGCACAGATGGTTGCTGCCGCAATGAGGCACGCCGATGAGGGCGGCTAGAGCGATGGAGCCGGCGAACCAGAAGATCATGGTAATGACCTCAAGCGCCAGAGAAGCGAGGCGGTGGAAGATGCTGGTGAAGTAGAGCGGGGTGACGCCGATGTAGGCGAGCACCAGCAGCGACCAAATGCTGTTGAATAGCATAAAGTTGACCGTGTCGGGGGAGTGGGAGCCGCTCCATCCATAGTAGTCGTAGCCATCGAAGACGCTGACAGCTGCAGAAGGGTATTAGATTGAAGCCTACAATGCCAACGTGAAGAGAGAAGTAGAATGACTTACCATATGCCGTCAGGCCCAGCTCGATGATCGTAAAGACCACAGCGACGATGTGAATGATGCTCACGAATCCGAATGCCATCTTGGTGATGTGCGGGTTCGACCGGAGAGGTGGGTATGTTTTTGTGGTTATTGCGATTATTAACACCGAAGCGTTGGAAGACCGAGGACGTCAGGGCAGACGGTTGGATCGTGAGGTGACAGGGAGCAATAAAAACGAAGAGACACAGAGAAGGGAGGGGGAGCAAGACAGATCCGGCGATGCGACTGTGCGGCTGCAATTTATTTAGTAGGAAACTCAAAAAAAGAGTCGCTCCCAGAGTAGTCTAGGAGTTGGGCTGGGCAGAGGCGGCTTGCCTCGTAGACTCGTAGTGCAGGGAGCGGCAATGTACGATGATGATGACGTGGAGAGACCATACATGGGTACCTAGGTACCTACCGAGCATACTGGGCTGCTTGATTACGGCTCTCTACTCTACTTGACACGCCTAGAGACATGGCAGCCAGCCCGAGCCTTGCTCATCTCCAGATTTGAGCTACTCACCAGTGCCCTGCTCCTCGTAGGGATGCATCAGTCATTGGGTGAGTCATCGCAGACCTGATACACTTGGAGGGAGTCCTCTACCAGTACTGTATCTGTATGGCAGACTGCATCACTCCGTCGAGATTCCCCCACCCACATGCAAAAGCCGGATGGGCTCGAGATGTGGTACTCCCACTCCCTAGGTAAGGTGAAGAGCTCATATATCGGCGAATGACCTCATTGGCAGCAGGGAGCACTGCTCCGGCATTGGGTAGCGAGAAGCTATTAAGGTTGGGGGGCTTGGACGCATGCTGGCGGGGGAGGGGAGCTCCCTGGAAGCGAGAAGCTATGACCAATCATTCCACTGAAAGGAAGGCGCTACCGATGCCGATTCCGTGTGACAAGCCTGACAAGCCGCGTTTTTTTCCAGTTTCCAGCGAGCAGTCAGGATTGTCAAGCCACACTATGACGACGTCGACCCTCTAAGGGAGGCAATCCCGCTGCACCACCTGACCACCTCGCCGCCGTAGATCGGAGGATGCAAACGTGGCGGGGAGCCCTACAGTGATCAAAGGCACGGGAAAGTAGGGCATTCACAGTGATGATAATAAGATGGGCTGCCTTGGTCCAGAACATACAAGAGAAAGGTGAAAAGGCTACCTAGGTAGTAATAGCAACTGACCGCGGGAGACAAAATAGCGTTTATTGTTAGCAGAAATCTAAAAGCTGAAGAGCGGCGGCTAGTTCGGCAGGCGGCCCAGCCTTAAAAGACTTGGCGGGGAAGGAGTGACCTGCCAGTTGCCATTGCATGTTTTATCGACGCCGGTAACGGTTACTTCCTCATCCGGATCCGTCCTCACACGGATCACTCATGTGATTAGACGGTGTTTCTTAAGACAACCACTCGCTTACGGAAGTCACGATGGTGTTGTAATACACTGCATTGCATCTACTTCAGGTATCATTAAGCTTCCTCAGCCACAGAATCTTACAGCTCATCCCGAATGAGTCCCTTACGAATTTTTAGCGCGGTGAGACCTTCGTCCACGGCGGCGAGATGCTCAAATCCTGGCGCATCCTCTCCCAGTCCCCATGCAAACACTCCCCCGAGTCGTTTCTTTTCAACGATCGCAGGGAATTTCTTTAGTATCGCCTCTGGGGTGTCAAAGGTCCACCACAGGTTTTCCTCAGGATCCCAGTAGTAGTATCCCCCTTGTTCCTCGTCGTAAACACCTGCCCACTGCGCCCTCGCCCACGACTCTGCGACTTCTTCTGGGACTTCATCATGATACGAAAACCCGCCGGTCCGGCCTAGGTCGGCCCCGGTGTCTGGATCCTCGAGGAGGAGAGTCTTGCAGCCCAGAGGAGACGCGGCATTCGCGCAGTCGTCGTGCTCCGTACGGATGAACTTGGTGTAGAAGGCGAAGCCCAGGTTGATGCTTTGCGGTGCTGCACCTCTCGCGACGTACGCGTCAACTGCTTCGATGCTGTTTTCGATCCCTGTGTGGTGTTTGGTGACATTGTCTCGTCGGTTCATCAAATCGTAAGTCATCACATTGAGGAAGTCGATATGGCGCATGATCCGCGGAACCGTGAGCCGCGTGAAAGCCATCATATCCCGTTCAAGTCCCGGCACGGCAGCCGAGATGAGCCTGTCCTTGCCAAGCGCGTCTCGAATCTCAGCGAGAAGGAGTGGGTATGCTTCGATCTCCCATGCTCTCTTAGAGTTGGGGATCTTCTTGTAGTCGTCCCCGTTGCCTCCTGGATATTCCCAGTCAATGTCAACCCCTGTGCAGACATTAGCGGTCACGATCACGATGACATCGTACACCACTTACCATCAGCGCCCGTGGTTTCGACCATCTTAGCGACGCTGGCAGCGAACGTCTGGCGCGATTCCTCGCTCTTAGCAGCGCGCTCGAAGCCCGCTACATCGCCCCAACCGCCAATGGCGACCATGATCTTGGTCTCCGGCGTGAAGTACTGGCGTAGCTTGCCAACATCGGCCCAGAATGGCCACTGTGAGCGCTCAGGTTCATTGAACCATTCTGACCTCATGAAAGCCAAGGCAACATGAGTGACATGCCCCAGCCGGCCAAGTTGCGGAACGACAGGATGTTGCCTGGTGATTACCATCAGCGAATATGGAAAGAGTTACAGCTCAGGTTAGTCTTATCATACCCAGTCAAGTACATGATGCACCTCGGTGGAGTAGCTACCACTTCCATCGCCATGACGGCGAGCAGCCCACATAGGATGGCCGCGATGCGCATCTTGCTGCTATCGAATCCAATGACTGGCCAGAAGAGCTTCTGTAGTCATGAGCGCACAATGGTGTTTCACTGTGAGTAAACGGTGGATAAGTATAATATCGAGGATGGGCACCCCCCAAAAAGAAAGAAAGTCACCGAGAAACCATCAAATTTTCTTCTTGGTTCAGTCCCCACGAGTAAGAGCGGAGTCCAATGGCAGGCAGTCTCTGTTACCAAGGGAGAGACGCGATCTGCCCTGTCTGAGATCCGCGTCAGTGGTTGGCCCTTACATTGTCTAGAGTTACCTGGGCTCGCGGTCCGAGAGCACGACACACGTGTTACCCCACACTGGGCCATGGCTGGTAGCATTCGCTAAACGATGGCCCGGCTCTGGCCCCCGAATTTTAGCGGCATCTTCCCGCCGCTATTGAGCTAAAAATCAATTGCCCTGAACTCCAAAATACAGAAAATTTCCGTCCTTCACGTCTGAGATGGAAATCGACTCCCGGTGACATTTCGCTTCTCGACCGGACACCAATTGACCGAGAATCACGATGTTCGAGAATCTGTGCACGCTGCCGCTCACCTCCGACCTCTTCACACAGGTCCTCCATCCCTCCGAGCCGCTGCTTACCGTCGGCTTGTCCAGCGGCCATGTCGAGACCTTCAGGCTGCCCTCCTCTGACAGCTCCTCTGACGACGAGGGCAACGAGAACAACAGCATCACGAACGGCAAGGGTCTGATCAACAGCGTGTGGAGCACACGGAGGCATAAGGGCAGCTGTCGCTCACTTGCGTACAGCCACGATGGACAATGTAAGCGCTCTTCCATTTACCACCACCAGAGAGAGCCTTGCTGACAACCCGCTCCAAACCAGCTCTCTACTCCGCCGGCACCGACTCAATAGTCAAGCACTTCTCCCCCGAGACCGGCAAGGTCACCTCCAAGATCGGCATCCCGCCGCGCGGCGCGCAGCCCGATGCGCCCGCCATCATGCACGCGCTCACGCCGCAGACGCTGCTGCTCGGCACCGACTCGGGCGCCCTCTACATCTACGACCTGCGCGACGGCGGGTCCCTCGACGCCCGCCCCGTGCGCAAGCATTTTCCCCACGACGACTACGTGACCAGCATCTCCCCACTGCCGCCCTCCGCCGAGAGCACATCCGGCTTGCCCAAGCAGTGGGTCTCGACCGGCGGCACGACGCTTGCGGTCACGGACGTGCGCCATGGGATCATTGTGCGGAGCGACGACCAGGAGGACGAGCTGCTATGCTCAACGGTGATACCGAGTGGGCTGGGGCCAAAGCGCTTGAGGAGCAATGCTGTTGTGGCGGTGGGTATGGGCTCGGGCGTGCTCACCTTGTGGGATCGCGGCGCGTGGGATGACCAGCAGGAGCGAATATATGTATCCGGTGGGAAGGGGCACAAGGATGCGGAGAGTCTGGATGTCATAGCTCGCGTGCCAGACGAGCTAGGCTGGGGCAAGAAAGTCGTCGTCGGGCTGGGCGATGGTAGTCTCGCAGTCGTGGACCTGAAGCAGAGAGAGGTCCAGCACAGACTGAGGCATGACGATGTGGAGGGCGTCACAGCACTGGGCTTTGACTGCCAAGGGCGCATGATAAGTGGAGGCGGGCGAAATGTTAAGGTCTGGGCTGATGCCTCCGAGGGTCAAGAGGAAGACGAGGAGGAGGACAGTGATGACGAAGAAGAAGCTGGAGGCCGTGGTACCAAACGGCCCGCAGATAGTGACGACGATAGCGACAGTGACAGCGATGCGAAACCGGCAAAGCAGATTAGGAAAAAGAGAAAGGGGAAGGGGGCCCAGAGAGCTGTGGCATTCCCGGGATTGGATTAGACATTTCAAAGATACCCCATTCCTACTAAATATAAGCTTATGCAATTGTATCAATATGGCTATGGCTTTTCAATCGTAAAAATGGGCTAGTTCAAGTCGTGCTCTGAAGTAACGGTGACAGATCAGCTTCTCGCACCTTTGCCCGACAGCTCTACTAATGTACTGTAAATAGAATCGTCAATCTCGACTTCTCCAACTTTGAGAGCCGCCTTTCGTAGCTCTGCAGACCGATCAAAGGGCATTCGAAGAGGGTCATCACCTGCCGCTGGCGGACTCGCTCTTAGTCTCTCGCAGTATGCATCTACTTCCCTCTTATAGTCGTCAAGCGGTCTGAACTTGCTGGGATCCACTGCAATGACATTGAAGCCGAACTGCCCCAATGGCGGTGGAAATGCAGGCGATCCAGCCAGAACTCCAAAGAGCTGCACCATGGACGCAATCCCAGAGCCTTTGTAGCCTCCCCAGGGAGCTATTGCACCTTCAAATACCTCCCATGGATTAGTCGTGGGCTCTCCCTTCGCGTTGAAGGCAGAGTTTGGTGGAAGCTCCGTCCCGAGGCGCTGCGCCAGAACGATATCGGCATGTAGCAGTTTCGACGTCGCGATGTCCAGGATCACTGGCGTCTTGCTTGTCGGAAAGCCGATACACAGGGGGTTCGTTCCATTCAAGCCCTTCGTGCCACCATGAGCAGCAACCCAGGGAGTCGAGTTGGCCGTAATGATAGTGACCAGGTCTTCTTTGGCAGCCATCTCGGCATAGTAAGCAAGCATCCCCGTCGTCCAGGTATTGCTAGCTCCGACAATCGCGATGCCCAGCTGCTTAGCCTTCTTGATCACCATCTCCATGGCTTGTCCGCCGACCAAGTACCCAAATGTGTCATGCCCGTCCAGATGTGCCAGCACTGGCGTCTCATTGGTGATCTCAATCTGCTCATTCGGCGGCTTTCCGTTCAGACGGTCTCGAATGGCTAGAAGGCGGGCAAATCCTGCGGCTGAGTAGCCACGGAGCTGACTGTCAAGGATGTGCTTTGTGATACGGTTGGAGGCATCCTCGCTGTAGCCTATCGAACGAAGAACATCGCAGGCTAGTCGTTCCGCTTCTCGAAGCTCAACTTTCATCGTGCTCTCTTCTCACAAGAAAAGTCGAAGCTTTTCACAAAGTAACTGCTATACGATCTTCTACGTCACGATTGATTGGTTCGTAACAATATTAAATAAGAAAATCCACATTTGGGCCTCATCTCCCGTCGTGGCCTTATGTGGAAGGAAGTCCTATGGGGATGGTCTCCGCGAACTAAACCAAATTACCTGCGACTTCGGTCTTGTCATTGGATGTGATTGTGGATGTAGACTCAAAGCGCTGTCCTCGTAGAACTTTTCACGGATTGCGTGCTAATTAGTGAGAGTCCATCGCCTTGGGGAAACTAGCGTGGTTGGAGTACGGGTTTGGCGCAACAAGATCGAGAATGAAGGATGGCTATCCACTCTAGCGAAGCCAACGCTCGCAACCATCGCGAATAATCGGTGTTGTTCATGACATATATACATCAATTTGAAGATTGTAGGTGTGAATGTCCTGGTTAAGTCTAACTTCATGATAGATTATGATTTCCTAACCTTTTATTCATAGATCATACTTAGTCATGACACCTCCAAGTACCATCGTGAAAATTGGGAACTTGTTGTGCTTCGTATATTCCACAAGAAAACTCTATTCTCCAAAATCTGTTCTGGCTGACGTCCGGATCTCGCACAACATTGGTTCTGAAAGACACGACTGCAGCTTTGGTGCTTCCTGGAATCTCAAAGGAAACTGCCGATGTTTTGGGGATTTTTCGCTTAATCAAGATGTGCGAGACTGTATATCTGTCGTAGTCCCATTTAGAGATTTCAGTTTGCGCCTCGTCCACTCGCGCCGGAGTGAACCCATACACCCCGTAATCAACTATCGAGCACTGCAGTTGTTGGTCGTCCAAGGAAGACCATCCGAGTGCATAGAACATGCTCCGAAAAGTAATGTTCTGACCAGGTGACACTTGAACAGTCGTGGTGAGATTCACTACCGCAGAGTCTCGTCCCACGTCCCCCGAGGTGAAGAATACTCGGTCTTGATCATCAAACCGATCCAACGGCCAAGCATCAGTAACAGACATCCCCACAGGGAGATGTATTTGGAGGGCGTGAGACCGTGTTTCAGCAATGGAGCGGAACAGAGCCGATGGCGTGTATATTCCGATAGCTGAAAGCTCTGTTAGGAGGTATTTCACTCTAGAAGTTCTAGGCGATAACGGTCTTATAACTTTCACAAAGTCCCATGGATCTTCTCGAACGTATTGGCTGGGACCGCACATCCTAATACGAACTCCAACGGGAACCATAGGGTCTCTGCAATGAAGTGGCAAAATATAACGAAACGCGTCCTTGTCCAGAACTCGTTCGCAAAGTATTTGAGACTCCATCCTTATGCCGTTATTTGTGACGGAAAAGTCTTGCCAAACCTGACCCGGCATTTTCAATAGGAATCTAGATTCGGCGAAATATCGCGGTGATGGAGCTAGGATACCGCAAAACACGGCACCCTTATGATCGCTTGGCGATGTTATTGGGGATGGAAGTCTCCAGGCAAATATGCTAAAATCCGCGGTAGACTTGATGATTTCTTCTTGTAGACGCCGAAACGCCTTTTCCTCTTCGCCATATAGAAGTGGCATATTTACGTCAAATATGCCAAACAAGGAATAAGCCTTATCTTCGACTCGAGTGGTCTCTCTGTGAGCTGCCCACGACATTTTCTGAGCAACAGCTACAGATTTCAGAGGCTGTGAACCCTGAAGAATCGTCAAGCTAATGCCTGTGATCTCCGAGATGAGGCTTATCAGATCATCTTTTGATCCTCTATACTTCCAGACTTGGTCAAAAAAGGAAATTTTCCTGGGGGCAATAAGTTCTTGCAATGTCCACCCCCGAGTAAACCATCGACAGCGTTTAAGCGAATTGCCCGTCATGGAATCTGCAGGCAGATCTGACAAAAAGACGTAACAGATCTCAGATCTTTGGTACCATCGATACATAGAATTGATAGCCTCACTGAGTTCTGAACTACTGGACTTGTCGATACAACATGTATCAATCCATGCGTAGTTTAACCCTGACTCAGAAGCTATGCGGCATGTCGCTGCGATTTTCTGATGCCCTTTCAAGTGGTGGCATGAACCCATTGCCATAGCTGCGAACGAGACCTCATCTTCATCCCAGGTGTGAGAAAGAATTGCATATTTCGGCATGTTAGTCCCGACAAACTCTTCGAAAAGGCCGGTTTGAGTATTGATGAGTCTCATGATGATAATCGCGCAAGCTCTTGCGCGAATGTAGGATCGAATGGTGGTTAACTACGGGTCTAAATGGAGGCTTTCCCATGTACGTTATGGTGCGGCTGAACTGCGGTATTCTTTAGTGACATTGTTTGTGCAAGGTAAGACACTCTGGCGCGTCTCAAGAGGGGGAGGTTACCTCGTGACCGGAAACGCTTCGTACGACGTAAGCCCGGCAGCGCCTCATCTAGTGTTCTTAGGCCAATCAGGACGCAGTCTCTGTGCAAATGCAAAATCAAAATGTCCAGAACTCGGCCTGGAGACTCAATTCTCCAACTGGACCTTGTATGATTTCACTGAAAGAACCTATATTTGGAAAAGGCTCGTCTTTCTGGTAATGGGTGCGAAAGTCTGAAAATGCTCTGCTTGAGAAAACGAGTTAGCCTGAAGTAAGATGTCATGAGAAATCAAATATGGTCGTTCTCTCTAAGGGTTTAAAGCCATTGCAAACTCGACGTAGTGCTTATCAGTCTTAGCTTGTTGTGAAGTCATCCACATGTCAAGTAGGCTTGCCGAGTCTCTTGCGGGTTTAGTCTAAACAGTATTGCTAACCAGAGCATGGAAAGCGACGAGGGCAGCTTAAACTCTACCGATTGGTTACTTGCTCGCTCAGATGACTGACAAAGATTCATGTACGCTCAAGTCTTCGTGAAGCATTGAGGTGAAAATTTGAGGTACTCTTTTGTGATCTACTTTGTACGGGTGGACTTGCTAGCAGCGGACCTAAGTAGACTGTATTGGGTTTGAGTTATTATCCTATATCTTCCTAGAGATTGTAGAGTGCTCTTTAGTCTTTATAGACTCTGACCTTGAAATCATCCAGCCACTTGTCTTCGATAATCACAAGTTGTGACTCTTGTGTTTTCTTCATATACGCATCCTCTTGCATGTCTCTATAATCTTCCCGATCTACGTCCATAAAGCCCTCCTTCGCAAGTGAACGAGGAGTGATCATCAACGAGCGGCCTATCAGTCAATTAGTCAACACGAAATGTACCTAATGCATTAGAATCTGAGCCTACCGTTTATTGAACGATCGCAGGCGACTCTCATCATACAAGCAGCGACGTCCTCCTGCTCGCCAAATTCGACCCCTCTATCGATGAGCCACTTTTCGTACTCGGCAGTTCGGATAGCGCTCTTGATCCAACAAGGGGCGACGTAAATGATTCGAATGCCCTGTTCCCAGCTAGATCGCCGGGCGGTCTTCATGAAGCCTCGCAAACCATGCTTAGTAGATGTATATTCCCAATTGCCCTGAGAATTTCCACAATGTTAGTGCTGAACCGACACAGTTTACATAATCATTGTGGGCTTCTCACAGGGGAGTCAATGTAAGCCACCATGCTTCCAGTGATGATAAAGCAACGGTCTCTGTCCTCAGTGTCTGGCTGCTTGCGGAAATAGTGCACAGCTAACTTCCAAGTATAGAACGTGCCGTCAATATTGACTCTTATAATATTCAAATCAGGCTTTGTCGGCTCGCCACTTGGATCTACCAAAAGGTAGTGAAGGTTAATACAACTCCTCATTCATCAAAACATAGCCTACGATAAAACGGCACATTCTAATAGAGACTTACCATCTAGGGTCCACAGGCTATCTCCAGAGCTACGGCTGATGCCCGCGTTTGCTATTACCACGTCGACACTTTTTGCCGGGCTTCTTGTTTTTGCAGTTTCAAACATGACCTTCTGGTCTTCCCAGCTGCGAATATCGCACTTGACGAATACACAGCGCTCACCATTTGCGTTGAGCTCCTTCTCAATTTCCTTTCCCCTGTCATTCAGATCGGCGAAAGTGACAAATGCGCCGGCGGCAACAAAGGCACGCAAGCATGCCTCGCCTGAAATAAGTAAGCGAGTTGCTCTTGAAACCTTGAGTATTTGAATACAAATTCCTTACCCATGCCATTGGCACCACCGGTGATGATTACCGACTTTCCCTGGACATTTTTAATATTCGCAGGAATTGTATGGTCAATTGGGCCAGTGTAAGTGTAACGTGGAAGAGGCATGATTGATACAGCACTACACAGAAAGCTCTATTCTGTCAAAAGAGCGTCAGAGGAAGGAGGTTGTTGGGTCTGAGACACTTCACAAGCAAAACTCTCAGTAACAAATTCATGCAGCTTCGCTTCACAACCGAACACTTGAATGGCTACGGAATTGGCACGGGCAGGAAGCGAGACAGACACCGGTCGTGCTGTGGATTGATTACCCCGCATCTGGATACCTGGTTCCCGGCCCATCCTTGCACGCCCCGGTCGTCTACTCCGCATTTCGGGAAAGTTGTGGACCCTGGTTCGGCTACCCCTTTTCGTAACAGCCGAAACATTCGAGGTTGCCGGCTTGGCTTCCTGACACCTCTATTGCAATCATGCCATTGAGACTTTACCGACACTAAGATGCTCGGTGTAGTGTCTGGCAATGCCGCGACATGAGGATGATGGATTTTAGCGCTCTATGCGAGCTCGGGAAGTTAGTCGGCTGTGCGAGCACTGCGCTTGTGCCACTCCCGGCTAGTCTTTGTGATGTCTTCTTCAGAAGCTACATATGAGATGTTCAGATCACATGCCTCCCCGTCTAGCGCTAGGTCTGTTTGAATAAGGAATCCTGGTGCTCTGAATCTGGCGTACTTGTGGTGCAACCGATACGACGGATAAAGATACCACAACCCGTACTATCAATTTACCCAGCCCAAAGTGTATCGCTTGCGTACTGCTATCCTCAAACTTCTTGCTGGCTCTGTACTACCATGACGGCCCTTGTTGATGTTCCAGCTTCAGCTGCGGCTTCAATCACCAAGACACCTAATGTCCAAATAGAAGAAAGGCTACATCGCATGCCAGCTCCTGAATTGCCTGAAGTTCTCAATGGGGTTAATGGCTTCAAGAAGGCGGTCGACGCCACCAATGCCGCCGTGTCAGTGGAAAATGGCGTAGCCAGCGACCCGTTCAAGCTGAGCTCCCAGTTTGCGTACACCCCAAAACGAATCAAGGTCTTTACGATTGGTGCTGGATTCTCCGGGTTGTTGATGGCGCACAAGTTTCAACACCGATTCCCAGACATGCAGGATATTGTTGATCACACCATATTCGAAGCGAGGAGTGATGTTGGAGGTACCTGGCTTGTTAATAACTACCCTGGGGTCCAGTGTGATGTTCCGGCACATATCTACGTGAGTGTTGCCCATTTCTGTGCTCCATGTCACTTATCGTCATACTGACCGACCTATGGCTTAGGCGTTCCCCTTTGATCCGAACCCTGAATGGAGTCGATTCTACGCCAGCGGAGCTGAGATAGAGGACTACATAAGATCTACCGTCAAGAAATGGAATCTGGATAGGGATCTCAAACTGAATACCAAAGTCATTGGTGCTCATTGGCTGGAGGATATTGGCCAGTGGAGGGTTACTGTTGAGCACCAGGGACAGCAACGCGATGAGTACTGCCATGTCCTGATTTCAGCTCAGGGCGTTCTTGTGTATGTTGAAAACACCCAATTTGCCCAACTTCTCTGCTTGAAATGGCCCCTGTCAACTAACCTTATTCTTTGGTAGTCACGAGAATTGGCCAGATCTTCCAGGTCTCCGAGACTTCAAGGGTCATATAACGCATTCTGCCAGCTGGGACCATAATTATGACTACTCAAACAAGCGCATAGCTGTTATTGGAAATGGCTCATCCGGAATCCAAATCGTGCCTCAGATGGCGGACCTCCCTGGAACAGACGTCATGAACTTTATCCGCGGTCCGTCATGGGTTTACTACCGTGCCCCACCTTCGAAGCATCTTGGGCGTGAAGTCGATGATCCAAACCCGGCGTATACAGAGGAGGAAAAGGAGCACTTCCGCGACCCAGAATACCATTTGCAGCACCGAAAAGGAATCATCTCGCGTACCAACAAGTCCTTCTATATCTTCATGAAAGGGGCCAACAATGAGCATGGCATGAAATTGGCCGCAGAACAGATGGCAAACAAGCTTAATAATGACCCCGTGCTGTGTGAAAAGCTCATCCCCAAGTGGGAGCTCGGCTGCCGCAGAATTACTCCTGGGCCAGGATATCTAGAGTCATTTTTGAAGCCAAATTGCCACCTGACGGACAACCCCATCACTAAAATTACGGAGAACGCCGTTCATACTGCGGATGGAAAAGCATATGAATGCGACGTCAGTAAGTACACCATAGTCATCCCCATACAACCCGAACTCAAGCTAATCCGCGTCACCAGTCGTGTGCGCTACTGGATTTGATGTTTCCCACAGGCCACGATACCCTATAGTCGGAAAGAAAGGTCTAGACCTAGCTGAACTTTGGAAAGAGGATCCAGAGTCATACGTCTCTGTAGCTGTGCCTAACTTCCCCAATTACTTCATGATGATGGGCCCCAACTGCCTTGGTGGTCACGGGTCACTGGTTGAGTCACTCAACTGGACGGGCGACTACTTTGTCAAGTGGATTCGAAAGATGGCGACCGAAGACATTCGGTACGTTGCGCCAAAGCAAGACGTCGTCGATGCCTTTATCCGCTACAGCGACGAGATCCACAAGACGCTCGTCTGGACCGGTAGCTGCAAGAGCTGGTACAAGAGGAACCGTGTTGATGGACGCGTCACGGCTTTGTTCGCTGGCAGTGCGCACCTGTTCCAGAGACTGTTGTCTGACATTCGCGGCGAGGACTTTGAGGTCATCTATAACACCGCGAATCCGTTCCGTTTCATGGGCAATGGGTTCACTGAGTTCGAAATGAACGAAGAAAGTGACCTGTCGTGGTACGTGGAGAAGGCGGAGGTTTTGCAGACCCAGCAGAATGGCACTTCATGAAAAGACGTGGGCAGGGCTGAACGACTGGGGTAGATAACGGGTTATGGGGATTATCAGCAACATTCCATGCAGTGATTTACGTCTATTTCGAGATGATAGAAGTAGATTTACTCCTACTCGCGAGTCGCGAGTCAATCTTTAGATGCTCGCTATACAAATACACAATGATTCCACAACAATCTGCAAGCAACACTAGGGAGCACTATACCGGTCTGTAGATCACATATTTCTACTTGAACTCGACCATAGGCCATAAATTCTTCAGAAAACAACGCTCTATAGCTTAACATGCACTTCATAACCTTGAATGGTGACAAGCTCGTAGAGTCCTCTCTCGCTCAGCAAAGATGTCAAGGACAGCTAGACCATTGCTGAGGGACCATTTCCGAAATGTCAAAAGTGTAGTCCGTCCACGGCTCCAAGAGATCCTGATATTGCGAAAACAGAGTATCCTGGATCAACATGTCGTCTGGCGAAGGAAGCCTTGTGGCTGTACCATGCTCCTTCCCACTCAGCAGGACTTCTGCAATCCTGTTTGTTGCCGGAGTGACAAAAGGAAACAGCTCTGTCCAGGCGAAGTCGTCATCCTGGTTAGGAATACTGGACATCGTTGAGCTCGTGGTGAAGGTCTCATTGTCCATGGCTCCATGAACATCGACCTGCCCCACTGCCGATTCCACGTATCTGATATTGCTTGATGTCATTGTTGTAGAGGAGCTCCTCAGCCGTTCGAACCCCTGACGTATGACATTGGCCGAAGCCCACATCTGCTGGAGCTGGGTAACGGCATTAACAAGAACATCCAGCCCTTCGTTGGCTTCTTTTGCTAGCTCTTGAATGCGGCTCGCTTGCAGCAGGGCAATGAATGCTGTTCCGGAGTACCAGCAAGTGACTGCCATTAGAAAGCGGGCATTCCCGCGGGAAAGGATATCTCGTAAAATTCGAGCTATACAGGATGCCGCAAGAATAGCAGGGGGAAGCGCTTGTGGGAGTGAGTGAGTCGATCGTTTCAGATGAAGTATGATTATCGTTGTAAGATATGGAAGATGGAGTTGATGTACGTCACGGTCGAATGATTGGGTCCGTCCAGACTGGATCGGTAATCGGAGGTGTTCAGGTAGGGAATGCACCCATTCGACCAGTTCTTGACGAAGATGAAGCGGAGAAGAGCCGGCAGAAGTGACAGAGTTCGACCGCCATAGCGCCTTTGCAACTTTTCCCATGATAGCACTCAGCCGAACCCAGTGGATGAAGATTTCTCCTTTCCGCTGACATGCAGGATCATTTGGGAAGTCAGCAAGTGTAGGCTCAGAAATGCTACAATCTTCTGGATCGATGATGCAAGGTTTACTTTGGCATAGGGCCGTGATACGCTCACGCGCCTATTGAGACATGTTAGCACTCTTGTGAGTATGAGGGACTTTGGTGAGAGAGTGCCGTACGAAAACTGTCCACCATATCCTACGTCTAAGACTGAGATCAAAACGATGCCTAAGCGGGTGGTTAGGACCAGGTTCTCGGTGGAAGTTCATCTGTTGCGCATGTCGTATGATGACTGATGTCCACCACCAAGAGGCATGACGATGAGCAGTCGTGGGCGGCCGAGGAGCCCACCAGTAGAACAAAGACAATGCCTTCATGATTGTCAAGATATCTGTCTCTTCGTCATTGTAGAATATAGTGGTTCCTTTCTTATAATATGCTGCAGGCCCTTCATGAGGCACTAACGGGGGTTGTATGTGGCTCGCAGCTGCGGCAAGAGCATTAGCCAGAAGCGCGGAGCGTGTCAGCTCTTCAGGGAGTGTGTCCCGGTCAAGAACTGGACACCAAGGATAGCAGTACTCGAAATATGTTTCCGCAAAGCTTTGAAGAAGTTCTTGTTGTTGAGGATCTGAAGGACTGGGCTTTGGCTCGAGGCTGGCTTCGAATTCTTGTTGTTCAGCGTCGAATTCGTTCTCGGGTCCATATATTTGTAGGAATCCCGTGTCGACATCCCCCGCATGGCTTCGCCCGGCGCCCTCTGTTGGTGATCCTGCCGTTTGCGACGTTGTTACTGGGAGTTGGGGCAGTGGTACATGGGGCGTTAGCGAAGTAGGTCCGATGCTGGGGACTCTGTGTGAATAGGAAGAATGAAATTCTGAGTTGACTGCGCGAGGATCACCGCTTGCAGCCGAGGCAGTTGATGGTTCGTTGGATCCATGGCTGTTCAACCTCCTTCGACCATTATTGAGTGACTGCTCGCTAGGTTTAGAGGGTGCTGTTCCATTCACACCTGTCCGGTCTGATACGATCACGGTGTCTGGTTTCTGGGAGAACGAGGAAATGAAGCTGCCCTGGTCTGTACCGCCTGATGATGCGATTGACGGACGGTGTTTGCTGCGTTTTGAAGGCCGAGGACGACATTCCCTGCTCGTTCCGTCGCATTTGGAGCAATTGCTACGGCCCCGGTCAATGCGTGCCTGCGAATGAAGAGTTCATGTCAGCACCTTGTAATCCCAGCCTGTAAGCTCAATTTGAAAGAGACCTGAGTAGACCAACCTGCAGATCGCATTTTATTTTCTTGGAGTGACAAAAGATGCAGGCCAGCTTGGCACGGTTCTTCTTGGGCTCAGAACCAGTATACGACATCCAGTCTCCAGCGATCTCAGTCATGATCGAAGCAGGTGAAAGAAATGCGGATGACATTGAAGTTTCTGGTCTGCGCCTGTCCGTTCCTTGAGGGGTGTGGGTGGAGGTTACACCTCTGGAAACACAGGGAGAACTCGGGGGTGGGGAGCTGAGAACACTTCGTCTTGGAGATAAGGGGCCTTTCCTTTCACGTGGTAGCACCTCAGTGCGCCAAGTATAGGTCGGTGCGGGGAAGGCGGGGGGTTTGTGGAGTCGCTCTGCCTGTCTATCCGAAGGTGAAGAGACTAAAGGACTTGCCTCGACGTGCAAAGGACTCTTGTCCCTTCTGTGATTTACAATGTGCATTGAATACCTGTAGAGACCTCTGAACTTCCTTTCTTACTACAGGCACTCTGAATACTTCATAGGAGCTTTGAGCGTATTTAAATGCCGCATTTATCGGATGGGCATGGTGAAGTTAAGTCTAGTTGTCCGGATTGCACAGCAATCATCACATTGAAACACAAGGTGGACATTCAACAGCGCATGCTTAAAACACAGGCCAAAGTAGTAATCAAACATATGAAGGGAATGAGAAGCTACTAGATGGCATAATCCGGAGCTAGAACAAATTTGTACACTGCGACTAAGCCGTAAGAATTAATTGTTAATCTCACAGAATGTATCTGAACTGAGGATTCTAATCATCGAATTAGCATTTTTATGTCAAAAGCGATGAAGTCAGTGAGGAGCTTTACCTTCAAATCCGTCAAGTCATCATCATAAGCATTGTCAAAACCTTCAGTGGTGCCAGACTTGTTACGTCGGTGATTATCCCACATGCACACCAAGCGGTACACAATGGCAAGTACACCTGCGACAAGGGACGTAACGACTACGATGATGAAGCCCGGGTAGTATCTTGGGGCATCCTCCTTGCGGAAAATAAGAGGGCCGACAAAATTTCCTAAGAGATACTGGTTAGCTTTTGTCAGATCCTCGAACAGTGAAGTTACTACTTACCAAGACAGTATCCGATGTAGATACCGGATGAAGCGACAGATCGTTTGGTGTATCCAGCTGTATTGGCAATTTGCAAGCCCATCAAAACGGCATAACCGGCACCGATGGATGGCAGAATGAATGTTGCGAATAGAAGACCGCCCTTGGCAGAGAGAGGTAGCAACCACAGGAGTAAAGCAGCCAATGTAGTACCCATCTGGGCTAGGAATACTAGGTAACTTCTGATGTTTGGGAACTTGTATGCCAGCCATGTCAAGACCAGGTCGGCAGTGCCAGCATATGCACCGCAAGGCAAGAGCAAAAGCAGGGCCTGCAAGCCACTGTACCCAAAGCCGTTGACAATGATGGGAACAAAGGTCGAGATTGGGCCGTTAGCAATCATTGACAAGAAGGCGATAGCAAAAATGAGCCAGAACTTGATATCCAAGACAAGCTCTAGAATCTGTGACCCCTTCAGATGAGTGTTTCGCACACCGGAGTTGTTGGATCTCAGACGTGCAACGAGAATGTAACGCTCTCGCTCGTTGAAACCTTTTGCTCGAATAGGGTCCGGTGGCAACACCCACCACAAGGCGACACCCCAAGCCATTGTTATCGCGCCGGCGAAGTAGTACATGTATCGCCAGGACGAAACGCCACCGTTGATAAGACCGAACCCGTAGTTGACCAAGGGTGACACGATGGAGGCGTAGCCAGTGCAACTATACCAGATTCTACAGACATTGTTAGCGAATGTTTCTCACTGCTATAGAGCCAGATTGTCAACACTTACCCCATCCTCATAGCTTGTTCATCTTTTTTGTACCAGCTTCCCTGTAGTTGCCAAAGATTTAGTTGGGAGATACCGTCTGGGGGTTAAACAACCGTAACGTACCACAATCATCATAAACATGGGACTGATACCGGCTTCAAGAAAGCCGAGGAAGAATCGCTGAGCAAAGATACCGCGATAGTCTTTACAGACAGTTGTAAGAATGAGGCAGAGACCCCAGAGAGTTACAATTATGCACGCCACGCGTTCAATAGGAAACCTCTGGGCAAGCATCATCGCCGGGTATGCACCGAGGATGAACCCGAGGTAGAAAATAGAAGCCGACATTGAGTATCGATCGCCGACCAGCAAGTCAAGGTCAGTCCGAAGACCAAAAAGAGCCTAAATGACTTCCTGTTAATACCAAGGTATTTGACGGATACCATGTCAAGCTCAACTTACCGCCTGTGACAGCATAGCTTTGTCGTAATACTGAAGTAGATAGGTAACACACAAGACTGGCATCAACTTCCAGTCGATTTTTCGTCGAAGCTTCTTTGCTTCCTTGTCCGTCCACGTCTCATCACCCGTGTAGGTGGCCAACACCTTCATGGCCTCATCCTTGTGAATCGTGTCGATCTCAAGGGCGACCTTGGTCTCGCTGGCCTCTTCGACATGATCGGACTTGTGAACAGATGCCATCTTGTCAATGTCGCTCATGGCTGTTTCTTGGGTCTCGTCAGAGACAGGCTGCATTGAATGATTTGAAGATAAAATGTGACGGTCTGCAGGTTTGCGTCCTGTCCAGACTATCGGGTCGATATTTGTAGGTAGTTCTAGACTGCTTGTGTCCTACCCCGTGGGGAAGAGACACGCCTTTCGGTGCAAGTGAGCGGGCGAGGTGAATGCTGTGTCGCTTGGCCCGACTTTGCCGACATAACAAAGCAGGAACTCATCTCCAATCTCCAGTGATAAAACTCAATCCAGTGATTCCAACTCGCTGTGCTTGCGAATGCATTGGCACCTCGATGGCTAAGCCAGAAGCGGTTTACCGGCCGGGTTTTGGGGACCGAGTCTAGCAGTGTAAACCGAAGGCATTACCGACTCGCTTATTGGAAAGAATTCCAGGGCACCCGCGCCTATGGTTGCAGTGCTTGTGGGGTCGCCCAGGGAGCCGGACACCTGTAGTGCCACACTGGTCCAAGCACTAATCCACTAGGGTTCACACTAACATCCCCAGATGCGGAGTAGGATCCTTGAAATGCTCAGGTGCGGGGAAATGCTCTCCGGTCATAACTTGAGTCAGTCAACTATGCAAAGACTCTGGGCCTGGAATCGAAGAGCCTGTCGTTGGAGTTACTTCAACTAGGATCTGTATTAGGGAGCCACTGTTAGATCTGTGAACCATCACTAACATTCACCAGCGATCAAGCTCTTGAACAACCAGGAGGAGAGGTGGGGATAATATGCCTTCCACCCGTATTGTCGATATCCCGCCAGGGAAAGAGACCATATCGGTGAACATGATTGTGCCAGTCAACTTCGGCCCATCGATAATCAAACGGTTTATGACACCACCAGTTCCGGGCTTAGAGACATTCAAGTCCTCACCTTCCCTATCGTTTCTCCTCGAGCACCCTTCAGGAAGGAAATTAGTCTGGGATCTCGGCATCCGGAAGGACTACACGAATTACTCTCCCAAAATCTCAGCATATATTCCGACCACTAAGTACAATATCCAAGTTACAAAGAATGTTGTCGAAATTCTGGAAGAGAATGGGATTGCACGCGAAGACGTTGAGGCAGTAATCTGGAGGTGAGTTCCGCTGCCATTGTGAAAAACTCATCACAACTAAGCAATTATTGTTAAGTCACTGGCACTGGGACCACATTGGTGACCCTTCGACCTTTCCGCCAAGTACTGACCTCGTGGTGGGCAAAGGTTTCAAAGCTGCGATGCTGCCGGGTGCCCCAGCAAATCCCGAATCGCCAATACAAGAGTCTGATTACAAGTATGGGCTATTTTTCTCATTGACATCTTTTTCCACTATGTATCTTTGATTGTGATTTAGAGCCATCAGTTCATGCTGACATGTCTATCTACAGTGGCCGGAATCTAAGAGAAATTACCTTTGAGGGACCAGGGAGCTTGAAGATTGGCAAATTTTCGGCTTTCGACTACTTTGGGGACGGCTCATTCTTTCTTCTAGATACCCCTGGCCACGCGGTAGGACATCTGTGTGGTCTGGCCAGAACCACAACAGGCCCAGACACCTTTATTCTTCTAGGCGGCGATGTGTGCCACTATCCAGGGATTCTACGACCGTCGAAGCACCTCCCCGTCCCTCCGGAGATCACGCCTCACCCTTGCTGCCCAGATAGTAACACTGCGTTCTGTCCTGGTGCAGCATTTGATGAGCTTCAAGCATCGAGAGGTCGAGAGCCAACTGACACCCTCTTTGACCTATGTTTCGGCCTTGATGTTGCCCTTGCAACCAAGACGGTCAGTGAGCTTCAAGAGATAGATTGCGATGAGAATGTGTTTGTCATCATCGCACATGACTCGACTGTAAGAGACGCCGTGCCGCATTTCCCAAACTCGTTGAACACGTGGAAGGAAAAGGGATGGGGCGCGAAGACTAGATGGCGCTTTTTCCGAGACTTGGAAGAGTACTGGAAACTGAAAGGCGTAGTGTGAGTTCTGAGCATGGCTTATCAATCAGTCAGTCCAGATGGCTGTCTACATATTTGAGCTGTAGAACTAAGGTAATTCAAATTAATCCAAGGGTGCGCGCTGAGAAACAGTCTGCTTTCCAACGACGGTCTCTAGAGAAGTTGAAGCTAGCCAATGCCATACCTCCTGCTTCAATCCATAAAAACCTTTCTCCGAGATGAATTGCTCGGCAATGAGTTCCACGAGACACGGATTGGTGTGCAGCTCAAGTATTCGGCAATGTCTGATCTTGGAATAACCGATGCCGCCGTTGATTGCTCTAGCCTCTAGCGTGCTCTAGTTCGGGCAGCCGTGCCCCGTCTGGGGTAAGGGAGGTCTGCCCCCTCGGCCTCCGATAGTCTGCCGAATGGAGTGTTACCGACGGTTCTGCAAGGCGCTTGACCGGACATTGCCCGAATCCGAAACCTGTCACTGCGATGGCGTCGGGCTTGGTTTGTGGAAAGGCTAAATCATCCCCGCACGACTGCCCAGATATCGTGGCAACCCTCGTTTTAAGATGCGCCAGAAAATCCGACCGAATCTGGACTGTCTCCAGTTAATTGACAAGCCAGTGTAGAGAAGCAGTTCGCGTCGCGACATATTGGATTGCAAGTTCTCAAAGCAGACTCTGGGAGATAATTCTATCTCCAATAATCGTCGACAAGCCAAACATCAAAATGGCGATAGGCTCGGGCAACGAGACCATTGCGAATGGCCACTCGGCTTTTGGCACACTCAATGATGAGCTGGATTATGATGTGCTTATCATCGGGGCTGGCCTCAGCGGAATCTACTCTATGCATCGAGTGCGAGAGCTGGGGATGAAGGCTAAGGTTCTCGAGGCTGGCTCGAGTGTAGGTGGGACATGGTTCTGGTGCGTTACAACATCTACAAGAGTGTCTTAATCACGAATGACTGACTTGTGATTAGGAATCGTTATCCTGGTGCAAGATTTGATTCCGAGAGCTACTCTTACATCTTCTCATTCTCCCCTGAAATTCTCAAGGAGTGGAATTGGACCGAGCATTTTTCTCCGCAGACAGAAACGTTAAAGTACATCGAGTACATCACTGATAAACTTGACGTGAGAAAATACATGCAATTCAATACTAGAATAAAGTCGGCAAGATTTCGAAAGGAGAGTAATTCCTGGGTTCTTACCGACGATAGCGGCCGGCAGTACACATGTCGCTATATCGTCACAGCTATGGGAATTCTGAACGAACCAACACTACCAAATATTCCCGGTGTAAACGACTTCAAGAGACGTTCTTGGCACACAGCTAGATGGCCGAGTGATGGCGAAGCTAGCCTCGCCGGAAGCGTGTTGGAATCATTGGAACCGGCGCAACAGCAATTCAGACCATTCAGACCATCGCTTCCTCTGTCGGTCAACTGACTGTCTTTCAAAGGACTCCAAACTGGACAGCTCCTCTACGCAACCAAGTCATCAGCCCGGAAGAAATGGAAACCATTCGCAAACAATATCCGGAGATTTTCCGGCTTTGCCTCGAGTCTTACTCGTGCTTTATTCATAGAGGCGAGACGAGGGGTACTTTCGAGATGACCCCTGAAGAGCGGCTGGCTCATTGGGAGGAATTATACGCAAAGCCTGGATTTGCGAAAGTTCTGGGCATTTCGGCCGACATCTATACAGATCGTAAGGCGAATGAGCTGTATAGCGAGTTCAATGCCAACAAGATCAGGGCTCGTGTCAAGGATCCCAAAACTGCGGAGAAGCTGATCCCCAGAAACCACGGGTTTGGCACGCGCCGAGTTCCCTTGGAGAGTGGCTACTTTGAAGTATATAATCAGCCCAACGTCGAGCTGGTTGACATCAACGAGAACCCTATCCAGCGTGTCACTGAGACTGGCATCAAAACGCAAGACAAGGATTATGAGTTGGACATTCTTATCTACGCCACTGGCTTCGATGCTGTGACAGGATCCTTCAATGCTGTTGACATTGAAGGTATTGATGGCATAAAACTCCGCGACGTCTGGAGCGAGGGTATCCGGACATTCCTTGGCCTGACTGTTAAAGGATTCCCCAACTTCTTCATGGTTATGGGTCCGCATCAAATGTTCGGCAACATTCCGCGAAGCATTGAGTATGCTGTCGACTGGGTAGCCGACTTCCTGCGCTACGCGGCTCAACATAAGTTGACGTACGTGGAGGCCACAGAAGAGGGCATGCAATTATGGACAGAGCATGTGCATGAGTGTGGGAAGGGACTTCTGGCCAACGAGGTTGACTCATGGATGACAGGAGTGAATAAAAACCTAGCACATAAGCAGCAAAGGTCCATGACACGGTATAATGGACCAGCGCCGGGTTACAGAAAACGATGCGATGAGGTAAAGGCTAGGAATTATTCAGACTTTGTACTTCATTAATTGAATTCTTTGTTTTCAGTGATTTTATGATTATCATTTATCATTCATGCGATCAACCCTTGAATCTCATACAGTACATGAACCCTAAACGGCTTCTCTTACATGGTACCGAGCTCAGGTATGAACTTTTACATCGAATTTGTATGAAGGGTGTGGTTTTGAGAGTGCCCAAAGTATCCCTTGCTCCATTGTCTGATCCCAGTCTTTTGACACCGATAGCCTCTCGCCATATCTTCTAAATCCATGAGGCACGCCCTTGAACAGATGAATATTTGTCGCCACCCTACATAATCATGGTTAGCCAGCGACTCCTCAAATCGACAACCAGTTCACTAACCCTTCTTCAGTGAGCATTTTCGCAAACAATAAGCCCTCGTCTCTCAAAGGATCCAATCCGGCTATACCAAACGTGGTTGGAGGAAGACCTCGAACTTTGTCAGGCGATGCGTTTCCTGGGCTCAGTTTGGTATCGGTTACATCCGGGGTGTCAACCTTTAAAAGATCCGTGAAAAAGCGAATCGTTGTCATAGGGAGGATTGGTGCGTTCTCATTCTCTATATAAGAAGAAACAGATGGATTCTTCAACTTGGCCAACTGCGGCTCATAGCAGTCTACGTTGGCCAAACACGGAATCATCAACACTTGTCCGGCTATTGGTGGACACGAGACAGTAGCCTTTTGCAGCTGCTTTTCTAAAACGAGCGATGCCGCTATTTGCGCACCACCAGATATCCCTCCGACGACGACCTTTTGGCCGTCGCCACATACCTCACTAATATGGGAATGCAGCCACTCAAATGCGTCTTGTGCATCATTCCATGCAGTCGGGTATGTGAACTTCGGAGTGTGCCGGTAGTTGACATTGAGTACAGCGACGCCTGTCTTAATTGCAATGCGTGCACAAATTGCATCCTCTGAAGAAAGAGTTCCGAAAAGATAGCCTCCACCATGTAGGTGGATATATACAGGTAGTTTTTCAGCCGGATCAGTATCTGCTGGCCGATAGGTACGAGCCTCGATACTGGAGTTGTCGCGGGTAGGAATGGAATAATCCTTTACTTGAACAAGGCTGCCAAGATCTTTCATAGCCTCAGCTGCTATTGACTCTCGCCAATCGTTCGTAAACTTCTGTCGTTCTTCGATAGTCTGATCAGTGCGCGGTGCCGGGAGCGTCGCTTGCACTGCGAGCCACTGGTCACTGGGGCCACCATAACAGGAGAAGTCGCACATTGTCGCGTGCTAATATTCAAATAAAGGTGCATAGAAGAACAATAATAGTACAAGCGACTTGAGAGTTGTTGGCACATTCTCAAAATTCTCCCAATCCCCGTCACGGTGCCGTTTCTTGGCCGGTCTCAACGGTCTTCCGGAGCTGCCAAGTCGGCTGGCGGTCCCGGAAATGGGCCGGCTATCCCAAAACCGGCTTGCCGAGCGCCAGACAGACAAAAGTTCAACAGAAACGACACAGCACCAACGAAACCAACAAACATGAAGACAATTAGAGGTTTTTCGAGTTTGCATACCCGAGCAAGCCATCCATGGAGGGTCTCGCAGCAAAGACCTCCGTTTTCAATCGGGAATCGAAACGGAGATAGAGCGAATTACTCCATGTCACAACATCTCTCTGCGAGGCCACCTTCACGCTCTCTCCGTGGCAAGGTCGCTCTAGTCACCGGAGCAGGTTGCGTCGGAGAGGGTATTGGCAATGGGCGTGCTATCTCAATTCTGCTTGCAGATGATGGCTGCAATGTGATATGCCTCGATATGAATAAGTCGTGGGCTGAGAAAACTGCCGAGATAGCCAACGCAGAGGCTGGTCGGGGTGGGGTAATAGCCACCCAAGGAGATGTGACGTCTGATCAAGACTGCAAGGCAGCCATAGATCTGGCGCTGGAGCATTTCGGTCGGTTGGACATTCTCGTGAACAATGTTGGAATTGCTGGAGCTTCAGGGACGGCAGTTGAAGTGGATATGGAAAGTTGGGCGAAGAGCCTGGATATCAATGTTTCAAGTATGGTGAGAATGGTGAAACATGCCGTACCTGTGATGGAACGAAATGACGGCGAAATCAAAGGCTCGATAATCAACATGGGGAGTGTTGCTGGCCTTCGAGGAGGGACGCCTCACTTACTCTATCCAACCAGTAAAGGTGCTGTGGTCAATATGACACGGGCGATGGCAGCGCATCATGCTAAATCGGGGATTAGAGTCAATTGTGTTTGTCCAGGAGTATGACCAGACGCCCTTTCTATTCATATCCTTGAGCTTGCTAACAACTCTTGATATAGATGCTATACACTCCTATGATGTATGCAAACGGAATGACTGAGGAGGCAAGGGCCGCCCGGAAAGCTAGGAGCCTACTAGGAACCGAAGGAAGTGCCTGGGATTGCGCATGTGCTGTCGCATTTCTTGCCGGAGACCATTCTCGCTGGATTACCGGCGCCATTCTTCCTGTAGATGCAGGCACCACGGCCGCCGTAGGCATCGGAATGCCATCTAGCGCTAGTGTGAATGGCTAAATGAATCATTCTTCAACACCCTAGACATCGACACTATGCTGTGCTCGATATCATAAGAGAAAGGCCCGGTCAGGGAGATTAAAACCAAGAAAATTTAGCTAAAATTTTACTACAATTTTGCTACTATGAGCAAAAAATTTCACGACTGCTGTAATAGCTTGATCAAGAATTCTTCTGATGCTCTACCACATCTTTAGAAACCGAGGCTGGAATTCACATAATGACAATAGACAAGAGCCAGTAATAAAGGTTCGCTACAGATGGCTACCCCTATGTTGTTCTCGGTGAAATGCCCTCATTTTTAAAATGCTTTTTTTACTTATGTAGAAGAGCAACCCTGGCTTTGACTTTTCCATCACAAAGATCTCTTAGAACGGTTGGAAAATCTTTCAGTGTTTTGGTCTCAACCTGAGGATGGATTTTCCCCGCCGCAATGAGATTCAATACCAATTCTAGATCTTTTACCTGTCCTCCATATGAAAAAATATAGCTTAATCGCTTTCTTGTTCCGGTTTTCATATGAATTGTGTTTTCCGTATCTAGACTCCCAATGCATAAGAGCTTTCCACCTCGTCGCACTGTCGAACAAGATATATTAATTTACATTCTCCAGAGGTCTTGTGCATGAAATCAGTTAAGTGACTGGGAAGTTACGTACCAATCGTCTGAGCATCATCAAATGTTTGATGAGTACCTACGAAATCCAAGACAGTATCGATTTTACCCTCAAGACCTATTTCAGAGACGAAATCTGGTGGTGACTTGCCGACAGGAACAATGTCTTCTTTTGGAATCCCCAGACCTATAGCCTCATCCAAGCGCTCTTGACGAACATCAGACACGATAACCCTCGCGCCGATATTCTTTACTATTTGGAGCGCGTTGAAGCCTAAACCACCAAGTCCAAATAGAAATACAGTCTCGGTAGGTTTCACTTCACCTCTTCGATGAATTGCGTGATAAGCTGTTGTGACGGCATCTGTTGCGACTGCGGCTTCTGCGGGTGTAACACCTAGAAAACAAATATTTAGCTCAGAAGTCTATCGATCACTATAGGTCAATAAAGACAAAGACAAGAACAAGATTGCACACGTACCGTCTGGGACAAGCACAAGTCCCCGAACATCCATTGTTGCGTAAGGAGCGTAGAAGCCATCTTGACCAATGCCTGAATGGTGGCTTCTCTCACATATCTGGGAAAGATCCCGCGAACATTCAGGGCAGTCATCTGAACCGCAACCGGGAACCGCATGTAGAGCTACGACATCTCCCTAGGGAAAGAGCTACCTTTTAGCCCTTGAAGCCTACCATGTATTCATCGAACATCTATGTAGCGGCACGTACCACTTTAAACTTCGAGTTCCTCACGTCACTCCCAATCCGCACAATTCTGCCACATCCTTCGTGGCCCTGAAAGACTGTGAGCCTTTGATGTCACACCACAAAAGTCTCACTTCTGTTTTGCTTGATGTTTTTCTACCCAGCAGCGAGATTAGAATAATACATACAAGAGTCCAAGCTTTCTCAAACCAATCGGCTTGCTTCTCGAGGGTGAGCAAAGAATGGTCACTTCTGCAAACTAAATTTAAAAGCCATTTAGGTCAGCTTGTGTATTATAACTCTAATATAGATATCGCCATGTGAGCTTCACTACGGTTATCTCATCTCCGACGTACCTCCTGAGGCCAGCATCTTGCATAGAACCCCGGTTCTGGGTGTTTCGGGCACCGGGATTTCCTCCCAGACCTATCTACCTCGTCAACATCACATACAAAATAACGAGACAAGACATATTCACCGGTTCTGGGTTGCCCTTATGCTTTCTCCATGCAAACATCGTGGGAGGAATTTCGTCATTCATTATTTATGAATAGTTTATGAGACTTCGAGCTTTGAAGATACTAGGATATCAAAGAAATGCTTTTTAACATCAGTGGTATCTTTGGAGGCAACGGCTTATGGCCTGTATCAAAAGTTACAATTCAGTATGATGCGGTGATTGACTACCTTGCCCAGGGGTCCAAGCCCCCCCAGTGATTTTGTTCTTCGCTCACTAAACTTCGCTACATACGAATCACCTCCTAATCGCCACTAGCTTGAGAATTCCCGAGATCAAATTGTGCCGACCTTCCGATCACTGTTTTTTTTTTCAATCTCCGAATTGCGGAGAATCCGGAGAATGATGTGGAGGGTGGAGATGGCCCCAGAGAGATGGGTCTCGTGGTCTGGCTGTACGCTTCGGCTATCCGTTTTAAGCATCGCGCCCTACACCAAAGGCCGAGACAGCCTCCTGATGCATCCTTCTCCAACCCTGGTGTCCGTCCGCACTCTGGGGGACATGTTCAATTTGGAGTAACTGGATCGAGCCTAACCCTCCACTACGTCCATTCTGCAGTTGTACCATTTTGCATGCCTTCTTGTAGGTATTTGGTTGACTAGAGTTTTTTGATAAACGCTGGTGTATTGACTGAGTTTACCCTCTCCATCGAAGAGCACAGAAACGTAGAGCAGCCATGGTCTTTCAGCCTCCCTCTTGGGTGCCAAAGCTCCCAATCGGTTCGTCATTCATGTGTCGTCCATATATGAAATTGCCAAGTTAGCTAAGAGTGAGCCCTTCATCGGGACATTGCCGCAGACCCTCCAGATTCTATACCCGTCGCAGAGTTCATGCGAAATGAGAAATATGGACGTCATCCAATCGCACGAAGCAAGCATCCCTTCACCTGTGGTCTTTCAGGGAGATCGTACTCTTTTCCGGAGCTATTTGAAAGGTCAGAGTTCCTATCCAGAACATTATGCCAAAGGATGGGGTGGAGTCCGAATGCGGGCACACCATGGGATAAAGTCGTTTGCATTTTCTCTCTCAATACGGTCCGTGAATACACGCTCGGAAAGCTTCTAAATTTGTTGTCATGTCGTTAATCACCCTTTAGATCGATTACATCACCGCAGCGTATTCTGTCCACAGATTCTCCGGCATCGTAACGCCTGCTAACGCCGTTTCATCTGCTGTTGAGCTAAAACACCAACTTCTCTCAGCAGGAGCACGAGCTCTTTACACATGCATACCGTTACTGGAGACCGCCCTTGAGGCTGCTGAGGGAGCCAGCATTCCGAGGGATAAGGTTTTCCTCCTACCGCTACCCAGCCCACTAGGCGAAACCAAAAGCCCACTACCATTTGCAACGATCGACGACCTAATCTTAGAGGGCAAGAGCCTTCCAGAGCTTGAACCATTGAGGTGGAGTAAGGGACAAGGAGCCCGTCAGACAGCCTTTCTTTGCTATTCCAGTGGGACTTCTGGGCTTCCGGTACAGCTCCCTGGGCGACCAGAATTTGAACACACATGGTGATTTTATCCGGGACTGACTGAGGTGTTTTACTAGAAAGCGGTTATGATATCACACAGAAACGTCATCGCAAATGTGCTTCAGCTAGTTACTTTTGAACAGCCTGCCAGAGCGAAAAGGGGCATCGAGACCGGATATGTCAATGGATTCCTTCCTATGAGCCACATTTACGGCCTGGTTGTGGTGTCGCATACTTGTCCATGGCGCGGCGACGGCATAATTGTCCTACCAAAGTATGACTTCCAGGCGTTCTTGCGCTCAGTTCAGACTTACAAAATCCAGCAACTCATCGTTGTATGTGAACCTCTATCATTTCAAGAAGCATTGTCACAACGAAATTCAACACGTGCTGAAATGTAATACTTCTTAGGTCCCTCCCATAATAGTCCAGATATTACAAAACCTCGAGGTCTGTCGTAAATACGATCTTGACAGCGTTCGGTGGGTAATGTCGGGAGCAGCACCCTTGGGTGAGGAAACGATTCGTGACCTTCAGAGGGCATATCCAGGTTGGAGTGTTGCCCAGGCGTATGGTAAGTTCAGCGCCTTAATGAGTTGATACAACATCCACATCTCTAAATGCCCGCTAACTTCGGATTTTAATAATTCTGTGTAGGCATGACTGAAACGTCGACGGTCGTCACTTGGACCGGCGAGGATGACATAATGGCGAAGTCGGCCGGCTCTCTACTCCCTGGAGCACAAATCAAGATATTAGACGTTGACGGACACGAAATCCATGAGTATGATATGCCAGGAGAGGTCTATGTACAAGCCCCATCTGTAGTGCTGGGCTATCTAAATAACGAGAGGGCAACTGCGGAAACATTCATTCATCAAGATGACGGTCGATGGATACGTACTGGAGACGAGGGAATTATGACTCTCGCACCTTCAGGCTACGAACATCTTGTCATCGTGGACAGAATTAAGGAGTTGATAAAGGTCAAGGTATAAACATGACACTCCAAGTTCCATTCGTATTCTAATTATCATTACTAGGGACATCAGGTCGCCCCAGCGGAGCTAGAAGCTCATTTACTAGCCCATTCAGCTGTGTCCGACTGCGCTGTCATTCAAGTTCCCGATGAACGGTCGGGAGAGGTGCCAAAAGCTTTCGTAGTCAAGGCCTCCAGCGTTTCGTCGCAATCTGACGAGATAGTGGCCAAAGCCATTCTCAAACACGTTGAAGAGCATAAGGCTTCCTATAAGTGGCTTAAAGGCGGTGTAGAGTTCCTGGATGCCATCCCAAAGAGTCCTAGTGGAAAGATTCTTCGCAGACTGTTGCGTGATCAGGAGAAAGAGAAAAGGCGGAGGCGGGGTCAAAGACTCTAATAGAGCGTCTTTGCTCAACGAGGCTGAAGGCTTATAAACTAATCGAAGAAAACTTCAATACCTTGGGAATACGTGGATTATAGCTTTGTCATACTTTCTCGAAAAGAATAGAAGTACAATTATTAGCGGGGAAGATTTACGCAGCTGTAAGTTATTTGAGTAGCATCTACAACAGGCTTCATCACAACCAGCCTCGAAATCGCGCATCGTGCGGCAATACTATCGAGTTTAATCTTTTTGCTGCCGTCGTTCTTAGGCGATATAGTCTATGAAAATTGGACTAGTGATGACTTTTCCACCACTATATTCGCGACCAACAAAGTACACAGCTTGACTATCTCCAACAGGATGTGATCCTGATGGAATATTGAAATAGCTTTCCACTTTTCGTGGCAGCTGAACATCAAGAAGGCTCTCAACCGAGAAAGCGAGGTCAGCTCCTCCTATAATGCGAAGTTGCTTTCCTCCGACTTTACTGATTTCTGATTTTGTCGTAAGAAGCTCGAACGTATGCTGGGCTTTATGCGGATTACCATCGAGGGCATTACCAACCTTAACATAGCCTCCAAGATGGCCAGTGACACTGATGGAATCAGGCACAGAACTGTCGGCAAGAAAGATATCGACGCCATCGAAGTCCCCGCTGGTATGTGTGTTGAAGACGACTTGGTCTTCAGCTGCCAGTCTGATCTCCTCTTCAGGGACATCCTGGACACCCCCAAACGATTCGATGTGGGATATTGTGGCGCCTGGTATTAAAATGGAACCTTCCCAGATAGCTTCGCGATAGCGGTCGTAGAGACGAGCTCCTCCCCATTTTACACGTATTTTTTTTGCTGTGGATTTTGGCGCTCTCTCTGATGCTTCTTCTTGAAGATTGTGACAAAATATCATCCCTGTAGAATCCCATGCCTCAATCGAAGTGAATCCCCGTGATCCATAGAAGCTGTATTTGAATGTGACAGATTCGCCCACTTTAACATCCAGGTCATCTCCTTGTAGCGCAGCACCATTCGCCGCGATTACAAGACCAACCAAACGCTCTCCAGTCGTCGCAAATGTCCTCCGAGCTCTTAAAGTCCTAGCTACACTCTTCAGTTCCAGCTCTGGAGCTAGTACTCCGGTAAGGCCGCCTTTGGTGCCAAAGACAGCGGTGCCGGGAACACCACCTCCACAGCGACCTCGGTGCTCGTCGGAATTGGCAGAGACACCGAGCCGCCAGCCACGCTTGACAGCATCACGGAGCAGCCATTCGAAGAGCCCCCAAGCACTACCAATCTCTAAGAGACGCTCTAACCGAGGATGGTGCCATGCTAGATTGCACCTACGGCCACCAACGTGAGGGATGAGGAGATGTTTCTCCGGAGCGTGAGCGTATGTCGCATAGACCTCATCAAGAGGCCATGCTCCAGGAATTAACTCTGCAGGCCCATCTTCGTTCCACTCGAAGCTGCGAGCCACATTGCCGTTTCTATCGAACGGGAACTCGGGCTGGCTGGTTCTAGGGTCGTCCAGAAAAACCACGTTGTGATCTCCTCCTGCAGCTGAGTTCCCGCACCATTCAGTTCCAGGGAACACGACGAACTCGCCTTCCGAATTTACCTTCTTAATGACTTCAAGCGTGTTATCCCAGCGCTCCTTTGTAATGTTGAAGTCATTGGCTGTATAGCCGATGATATCAAGACCAGCGACTTGTTGGCCGTAAGAGAAGTTGTAGGTGCTGGAGTTTGTGCCGACTGTGTCATCAGAGTGAACGTGGAGGTCGGCAAATAAAGCTCTTGTGATGGGTATAGATGATTCGGCAGTTATATATTCTGTTGCTTTGGCAATCACACGGCCATTGTGATCTGCGACAGATAGTGACAAGGTGTAGTCACCATCATCTGGAAGACTAAGCGTATGTTTCGCCACGGTCCAGCCCTTATTTGAAAACGAGACTCTCTTCTTCGAAATAGACTCGTCAGAATCTTCCTTGATTATCTCGAGCTCGGTCACCGGTACGTCAAGATCGATGGTTGCATTTCCCCATACATCCTCGGTATGGCAGTTGATTGGGAACTCCTCATTTGGTTTGACTAAGCGAGGAGTTTTGAGACGCACTTGAGTAGGGACCCCAGGTCGGATTGGGAATGCAATGTCTGGCTTGATAGGCGCAAATCGCGATGTCCCAACAGGATCAATATACCATCTCATTAGAAATTGATCCTCGACGAATGTCTGCACCCGGGTCCCTCTTGCACCCCATCGTCTATCGCCAATACGGACAACAATTTTGTCGCCAGGATTCATGTATCCATCAACAATGTCAATGATGATGGCCTTCTGAAACGGGCGCTCGTGCCCTTTCTGATCGAATCGCACAGCAAGTGACTGCACTGTCGCAGGTGTTTGGCCTAGATGCAGAGGGCTAGGAGTGTATTCAGCAGAGACATAGTTATTCTGTTTAGGATCTGAGGTCTGGAAGAGTGCCCAATCTGAGTAGAATTTGAAGGTACCCTTGATCCATGCGCCGTCGGCCAGGCCGCTAGCACCGACAGTGTATTCGACAAGAAGCTCAGTCCATTGACCTGCAATGAGAGATTGGGTATTACATTGTAGAGTACCAAGAAAGGGGAGGTTCTTAGTGTATTGATATAACCCAACTGGAGCGAAATAGTCACCCGCAAGAGCTTTCAGGTCTTCTTCGTTCAATGTCTTCATGATGATGCTTTAGTAGTTAGAAAGCAAACACTCGTTTGAGTCAAATAAGTGATCGGGGGAAGTGAAGTACATTAATGCACTGCGCCACGCTAATTTCTCCTTATATAAGAAATTGCTATCGAAATCTAAGTACGACTAGATATATAACCGGGCCGTCAATAATCGTGCATTAGATCCAAGTGAATGAAGGTTTTACTCTGTTTACTACGTTCGAATAGAAATTGATCTAGATCCAGATCCAGATGTACAGGGTGTGGGGATCCCAGCAATGTTTCCTCCCACTCTCGATTGCATCATTCAATTCTACGATCACACAATCAATCTTCCTGCCGCTTCCCGACATATCGGATCCTTACATGCAGTAGATAAAGCCCGACTCCTACGGTTGTTTAGCATCGGCCTAGTAAATTGATAAAAATAGGGCTGCAGCTCCCGCCAGGGGGAGCGGACCTGAAACGTCACTGGGGGTTGGCCAAGTGCGGGACCGCCTGAAGCGAGATTTTAGTAGCGGAGGGTAGGCATACATTTGATACTCACTACACTCACTACAAATACAGTGGCTTGTAGTGGCCAAGTCTATTGAGACTTTCATAACGTCGGTATCGTAGGTCCCAGATGAAATTTATCAGGTTTCAAGTAGCAGCAACAGCACGTGCGGCAGAATCGTCGCGGCAACATATTGATCAAGTATCTGACGAAGTGCCCAGAACTACGTTGCGTGGCTATCGATCAGCAGAAGGCGGCGCTTACAGCCTACGTCTATGAAAGACGGCATCCAGAAATATCGATGGCGAGATTCGTGTTTTATGGTAGCCTGAGTTATGCGTCGCCAGCGCCTCATCCAGTGACCTTATCGTGATAATTGTCAAATCGTAGCGCTATAATCCTCGAACAAAGCCTCCAACTCAACTCCTCGACTTGAACAAATGGCTACAGCTTGACCTCTAGCCTCTCGAGATGTTCCAGAGTTAACAATGCGCTTCTTGCTAAGAGACAAGATAAAACTTACCTGAAGGTCCAATTGTCCGGCCAGCCAATCTTGTCTCGAGGTAGTATGGCAGCGCATTGAGTAACCATTGAGGCTGTGTCCAACGTGGGAGCTGCGCCCACCAACACTTCTGCGGCTTTGCGGTGCTTTTGGCAACTGATGGTACCGCATTTTCCCCTCGCGAAGAGATCGAGGCAACCAGGGCAAACCAGCGTTCACAACTCATTTCACCGACCGTTGCGCTGTTCACACCCTTGTGACGACTTTGTAGCATGTTCCGCAACCATGGAACTGGCCGAGCGCCTAGGACTACGAAAAGGGAAAACCAAATGTGACTGGGAGAACCCCAAGGAATCTGTAGGCGAGAAACTTGGTGAGATTTGATCGGGCAGATACACATGTTGGAGTCCCGTGGGTCGCGCCCGAGATACCTGGAATACACTGCGGCCTACCCTCAAGGAATACCTAGACGACTTCTGTCGGCCAACGTCATCCTTGGTTATACTAGAGATGTACATGATTGGCAAGACTGAAGACTCGGCCACTCCAACGATTCTTATACGCTCATCTGATAAGGCAACACGGAAGAATATCAGGAAGCTTATCACTGAAAACGGCTTTTTTTGACGGATATCCTGGTCTAGGTCTCGGTGATACTACTGAGCTCCCTGACAGGCGTAGGATTTGAAGGCTAGCTGGAGATGGACATCTACTACACTCTCCTCCGCTCTCGAACTCAATTCGAATTGGAGGCCCATCCATGGAGACATCAAACCATTCTGATATGGGCAAGGTTGTTTCGTCAACTCTCTCGAAGACGAGGGATGCATCATTGGCCGACGTCTCTTCATTATCACTGGCGACGGTGTACGCGACCGCGTCGCAATTGGAGGCCCTATATTGTGGATTAACGGGCAGCCGTATCAGTTATCCGTGGATCATGTCCTCCAGGATGCTCCCAGTGTAGATGAAGGTAGCGAGCTGTCTTCCGGATTTGATGACTGCTCCTTCGACGGTGATTCTGAGACAGAGGAAGACTCAGATCAGATCTTAGACGTTCTCAGCAGCGGGAGCCGAACTCCGGAAGATTCTCGTTCCTGGAGTAGCGATGAACATGGCTCTATTCAAAGATCTACCTCGTCCCGTGAGACAAAAACCGAAAGTCCCACAAGGTCTGCGAAGTCCAGTTCGTCAAATAAGGATATTGCCCGTAGCGGCATAGCGATGCCGCTTGAAATCTTTCAGCCCCAGCCAGCACATAATATTCAAACCTCGAATCATAATACGATAACCTTGAGATCAGATGATGCGGGATACCGACGCGTTGGAAAGATTGCGCTCACAGCTAACCAGAGTGCCCTTGATTGCTCAAGTGATGCTTTAACTCATCAAAGATACGTCGTCCGAGCTTGACGAGTGGGACTTTGAGCCGCAGTCTTGATATAGAGCCTCGAAAAACGCCTGGATAATCAGGCGTCCTCCCTCTTTTATCCTCAAGCCGACCCTTTGGATTGACGATTCGTATCTTGAGAAAGTGCATTGAACACATTGGTTGTTCGAGGGCTAAGATCTCGGCCCAACCTAATTTAGGACAGACCTGGATTATCAGCGATAAAGGTGCACAAGGAAGGATACCAATCAATAACTAAGAGGACAGCCAGGAAGGATTGATGGCAGGGGGGTTGTCGGAGAATGAAAGAGAAACCTTGAAGATTATTAAACTTCCTTCCTCTCCAACCTAACGCCTCGTCGCAGCGACCATGGGTAGTCAAAATATCCAACCTGTTGACGAGCAATATTCATGTTGTAGATCGCACTATTCAAGATAAAGAGGCAGCTGGTATCTTATCTCAAAACCAGTCCTTCAGCATATGGCTCGGGTATGACATGCTCAATCTCGCCTACTAACACTGAGAACTAGCATCACCGAGGCTGATTTCGGACCGTTCCTTGGCCACACAATGCTATAATTGCTGAAATAAAGACCGACTCTTTCAATTCGTCACATAATATTGAATTCTGCGTAATCTATGTCGCGGTCTAAGTGACTTTTATACTCAGAATATACAAGCTCACTCGCCTATCCCATAGCTCTTCACACGACTAAAGAAGAAAGGTTTATCATTCTTCAGTCCGAATTCTCCCCAGTCATCCGTCAGCTTATTGTAACTGTAGAAGCCCTTCCAAATAAGCTTGTTGTTCCTCGCTCCCTTTCCAGCACTCTTGAGGGACAACTCCATTCTGTACATATATTTAGGACCCACACCGTCCGTTTCAACAAAGAGCTCCCCTTCTGCCTCCGCAGGGCTTACATCCGGGTTGTCCAGCGCAGACGAAAGACGCCAGCGCCCTTTCAGCCCGAATTGCATGACTATCGACGGTAGATGTGCCATTGCGCCGTCTTGATGCAAGGCAAGGAGGTCCTTGGTTAGATGATGGACGACGCTGGAGGGCTCGTCTGTCGTCAAGAGGCTAATCACCGTACCGTCACGGAAGAAGCGGAGATACCGGTAGTAGGTGACAATATGGACGGGACTGTTCCAAGTGATTTGGTGAGCGGACGCCTGTCCTGCTCTGATGTAGTTCACGGTGCTGATGTAGCAGCCGTTGAAGCGTATCCTGGGCCGTTGGCGGAACATCCGTTGCCAGGTTGTGTATGGGTTGCCCAGGAGGGCGTTGGTGGTTACGAGTGACTCGGCTTGTCGGCTGCGTGCTACGCTCTCCGCGTCATCTTCAAGGATGAATTCACCGAGCGGCTCCCACGACACGCCCTTCTGCCAGTCATAGTGCATCCCGCCAAACCCGACCTCCGAGCCGATACATATTCTCCGCCAAATTCGGTCTTCCGTGGCCACCAGCCATGCAAACCTCTTGCAGACCTGGGCAAGTCGAACAAAGTCGCCAACGTCTTCCACGGCCACATCCTGCAGTATATGTATCAAAATCTCCTCGGGTAGGCTCGCAATCGGACAGGGCGGTTGGGGCATTCCCTCTATCTCCGGCGGCGCAGGTTCGATCGACAAGCCCGCGAAGCTCGCAAGCAGCTCCTTCATTGATTGCGGTTGGCTTTCTAACGTCGCTTCGGGTGCTTTCGCTGCGGCTGACGTGCCTGGTGCGACAGAGGAGCCAGCCTGCTGCGGTTTCTGAGCCCAAGCCGCAGCGAAGTACTTGTTCTTGTATTTCTGATCGACTCGGTGGTCCATCTGTACAGCCAGCTATGAGGACCACATACTGAATCTTCTACTAATGAGCACTCACCCTGAAAGCCTTCCGGTACAGGCGCAAGCTGTCCCCTAGACTACCTTGCGCCTCCTTCTCAACCGCCTGCTCGTAGTGGTCGAGCGCGGACACTGGGCCCTTGCCATCTCTGGACTCCGCGGGCAATTGCGTATCGTTGGTAGGTTCGCTTCCCTCCGGCTCTTCGAAGACTTGTGTCTGGATGAACTCGTCGTCTACATCGTGGGGGATCGTCTTCGACGCTGCCACGAAGTTCTTGGGTCTCTCCGGCACCCCGCGGGACGGCCTAGAAGTGGGATTCGACGGACCTGCAGCGCTCTGTTGACTTCTAGAGGGCGGGTTCCTCGCGCGCACCTCGGCGCGCCACTGTTCGCGGAAGGAGTCGAGCTCTGACGCAGTGTCGCGGGAGGGGTCCATCTTACTAATGTGGAGATCGTAGGTGTCGGGGAGGTCATGTGGACATGGATGATTCGGATTGTTGAATTGTCTATTCTAGATTAAGGAGGTCATTATTATTGTCTAGATATCGAGATAGAGCAAGAAAATTGAATCATAGATTCGGCGTTGTGATATGGTTCTTGTTGATGTTGAGGTCACCTCAGGGATGTCAATGATGATGCGGGCGCCCTTATCGCTGCTTATCGCCGCCGAAGGAGTCACGGGTGGCCCCATTTAAGACTCTACGCCAGCTTCAAGCTCCATGGATCATATCACGGCGATATTGGACGCTCAAAAGGACGTTCATGATATGTTGACTTTGATCTTGCATCAGACATGTATGAATACATACGATACCTGTAGAGAAGGAAACCTGAAATGGCCTGAGTGGCTAAGAAGTGGGTATACCTATGTAGACTTTTCTGTGAAGCATCATTTGCTATGAGCTCTGGGGGCCTTGCATTTATTATTGAGATTGATGTACAAAGGGGCCTGGACTTCAAGCCTACCCCCACGTTTCCAATTGGCTAGTTTATCTAGGCGATGTTCCGCTCTGAGAAGCTCGACTTATTCGTCGCAATTCCTAATCATCATATTGAGGGTGATTATATCTCCGGGAATGCTCAGAGAAAGCAGATATGATTCATATACTTCTAGCTTACAGTAACTAACAAGGTGCTTATCACAACCTTGAAGGGCCTGGAAGCCGACCAAGCTCGGGGTTTGGGAGCAGCAGTGGCCAATGGAAAGGGGCGATTTCTAGAAGAAGTGGGGGTGACATCATGCTAACTAAACCAAAAACTGGAGGGCTCGGCTGGACTGACGGTGCTCCGGTAAAAGCCGCTGTCCGGGGGGTGCTGCTGCGACCTAAAGGCACTGGGCCCGAAATAATTTGTTGGACAGTCATGACGACGGCAAATTCGCATCTCCGGAATCGCACGCCCTTCTCTCCAACACAACAACAATCACAACAAAAACGCACGCTGGCAGCAGAGTTTTGCAGCACATCAACGGTCCATCCTTGCCTCTTCAATATCTTCTCCAGACACGCATTCTGCGTGACTGGTAGTTGATATTCCCTTCGCATTCCTAGAGTGAACAGCGAAAAGCGCGCTTCTCGCCGTCTAGAACGGCGATGCGATCTTGCCCACCATGACTTCTTTCGCACACACAGCCGACGGCCAAAACCACGACAGATTAGCACACGATGACTCCCTCAGCCTGCCGAGTATGCTACCCACCGAGGGCGACATGGCCGGCACAAATGACCCGCTTGAGATCACGGCGTTCCAGAAGATGCTCTCGGCTACTACTGGTAGTCTATTGACGGGCCTGTTAGGTATGGAATACTCAAAGTAATCTTCAAGGAGCTCTTCGCTAACAACATATGCAGTGACACCGCTCGATGTAGTCAGAGTTAGGTGGCAGTCGCAGACAGTCAAGCAGCCTTCGTTGTCGCCAGACTTCCAAAAGCTTTCCATCAAGACTCCCGAGGCGTTCCGACCGTCGAGCCTTGGAGTTACTGCCTGCTGCCGGGAGGTCTTTTTCATGAACAACAACAGTGAGGTATGCGTTGCTGGACCGAGGATTGAGGGTGCAATTGGGTCGTCGGCGGGGGAGTGCGCTGTTGAGCAGACACAGCAAAAGACATTCAATTCTACATTCGATGGACTGAGGAAGATTGCGAGGAATGAGGGCTTCTTCACACTGTGGCGAGGTCTGTCGCCGACCCTCCTCATGGCCGTACCAGGAAACATGATCTACTACGCTGGGTATGAATGGTTACGCTTCAACAAAGCCAGTCCCATTCAGCAGACTGTCAAGGATGAGTATGCACCCTTGGTAGCAGGTGCTACCGCCCGAGTCCTAGCAGCTGCATCCGTTGGTCCGATCGAGCTCTTCCGGACAAGGCTTCAAGCCTCCCATGGCGAAACAGCGGCGGGACATGTGAAGGACACCTTCCGCGGGATACAGGATATGGTGCAAGCACATGGATATCGCTCGCTTTGGAGAGGTCTGACCCTCACATTATGGCGAGATGTACCCTTCTCGGGCATGTACTGGTGGGGATACGAAACTGTCCGGGCGCAATTGACCGATGCTCGCGAGCGGCACCGTGGTCGCGATATAGGTATCGAAGGCCCCCGTGGACGTGCACGAAGGAGATCACAGAGCCGAGAGAACCACCGGGACACATTTATGGACAGCTTCATCGCTGGAGCAGTGTCAGGAGCAGCTGCATCCATTGCCACCATGCCTTTTGATGTGGGCAAGACTCGCACTCAGGTGTTCCGCGACACGGGCAAGGGCATTGCCTCCAGTGCTGAGAAAGCCGCAGCTCCTGAGGAACAGACCATGGTGAGACTGTTGTGGCATATCTTCAGGACAGAAGGCGCCTCAGGTCTTTTCAAAGGCTGGATTCCGCGAACATTGAAGGTCGCCCCCGCCTGCGCGATCATGATCAGTAGCTATGAGGTTGGAAAGAAGGTCTTCCGTGGCATCAATGAGAGGGCATTGAAGAAGGACACGCAGCATGAGTAAGGACTGGTTGAAAAGCGCATCTCTACTTGACATTACAGCATTGTTTGGCGTTTTGAGAAGGATCTCTCCCAGGGACAGAGGAGTTGGGTGTCCGAGGCTCAAAGGAAGACTTCGATATACCAAGAAGCTCTGCGAGAGTTTTCTTAGATTTTGCGAGCATCTGCCCAGTACCAATTGTATTGTAGCAAACATTTGTACATTAACCTAGTACCATTATAAGGATCACATAATTTTGAGCACCTCTGACTGCTTTGCTTTTTCCTGCCAGGATCTTCAGCAGTGTGATATCAGCAAAGCGGCCTGCAGGTATCCCGCTCATCAAACCCCGAAGTCCACTTACAAGCGCCAAAATAAAGTCTCGGTGACGTCTTCGACAACCAAAGCTAGGAAACAGCCAGTCAAGTCACAAAAGTCTTGATCATTGAAAACGAGAAACGAACGCCGTCAATTCTCCTGCAGTGAGATCGTTGATTACCCTTGGTTTTCTACGTCTCCTTTGGTATTTCTGGAGTTTAGCAAGTCGCTTCAGCAGCGATTGACTGGCAGGTAGCGCTGCCGTTTCGGGTCAGAGCCGACCTAAACACGACCTTGCATCTCGCGTTAAGTGCCGACGCCAAATGCGCGTTTTGCAACGCGCCCGCGAAACGCCCTGACAGTGTTTAGTTCACCAGCTCAACCCTGCCAAATTGGACCGTATCCGCAGTCTTGGAAGTTTCGCTGGACACGCAACCTACCTATAGGTATTTTACTGTACAAGCACGTCCCTTGTTAATTTCAACGTCAAATCTCGGTTTCTTCTGTCCACATTCCCCGACCTTCTCACCTGCTCAGCTCCACACACGGCTGAACTTCACAGGTCAATCTCACTAAAAAAGACCCAATTGCCGGTTTGGAATTGAACATCGTCAAGATTCCGCCTGTTCATCACGTCAAGATATCTTCCTTTCTCCTCTCTCCCGCTCTTACTCCCCGATCGGCTTCTATTCCCTTCACGCTCCTCTATCCGCTCCGATCTCGTCTCCACCTCCTCACGCGACTAGCGATGTCATCACTCAAGCGTAAGGCAGGCAACTTCCCAGCCTCAGACGCCAAAAAGCCAAAGCAGAATGCCAGCATAACCTCCTTCTTTGGCGCACCTAAGGTGACTGCCGCCGCTGGCAACAAGTCTGGTGCCGATGGCGCTGCTGCGGCACCTGAGCCACCGACTGTCAAGTTCGACAAGGCCAAATGGGCGGCTGGCCTGACAGACGAGCAGAGAAAACTGCTCAAGCTGGAAATTGACACGTTGGACGAGAGCTGGCTGGCACATCTGAAGGGTGAAATCACGTCGAAGGAGTTCCTGGACCTCAAGAGATTCCTGGAGCGAGAGGATGCATCCAACAAGAAAGTCTTCCCGCCCAAAGAAGATGTTTACTCTTGGTACGTTTGGTCTGATATCACGCCAATTCTTTTGCGTCCCAAGTAGCATCGAGACAAGTCTACGAGCAATATGCTACTGCACACCTGCTAATTACATCCAAGGTCCCGTCACACGCCTCTCCACAGCGTCAAGGTCGTCATCCTCGGCCAGGACCCGTACCACAACCATAACCAGGCCCACGGGCTCGCCTTCTCGGTGCGGCCGCCGACGCCAGCCCCGCCCTCTCTCAAGAACATGTACATCTGCCTCAAGAACGACTACCCGAGCTTCGTGCCGCCAGCCAACAAGGGCGGGCTGCTGACGCCGTGGGCGGACCGCGGCGTGCTGCTGCTCAACACGTGCCTGACGGTGCGCGCGCACGAGGCCAACAGCCACGCCAACCGCGGCTGGGAGCGCTTCACGCAGAAGGTGATTGACCTGGTCGCCGCGCGGCGCACCCGCGGCGTCGTCTTCATGGCCTGGGGCACGCCCGCCGGCAAGCGCGTCCAGAAGGTCGACGGCAGGCGCCACCTCGTGCTCAAGGCCGTGCACCCGAGCCCGCTGAGCGCGGCGCGCGGCTTCTTCGACTGCGGCCACTTCCGCAAGGCCAACGAGTGGCTCGTCTCGCGCTACGGCGAGGGCGCCGACATCGACTGGAGCCTGGGCCCGCATGCCACGCCGACGACGGACGGCGCCGAGGCCAAGGCGAACGCGATGGCGCCGCCGCCGCTGCCGGTGACGACGGACAAGGGCGAGGCGAAGCCCATGCTGCCTGTTGTTGCGGAGAAGGGGGAGAGCGAGAAGGAGAATGAGAAGGCGGCGGTCGAGGCTGAGGATTGAGATCTCGTCTATAGTCTGGCCATGACCTTTATTTCCTCGTGTATCAGCAGCTCATTGTCCATGACGAGGCATGGCATACTCGTGTGATTTCCTTTCTCGGCGTTAAACGGCTAGTTTCAGGGCATCTGGTACTTCTTCACAAATGAACAGCTCCATCACCTGTGTTGTGGGCGTGGCCTGTATGATAGGCGTATATCTACTAGACTTAGACACTCCTTACCCGCTCTGGATAGGGCAATGATAATGTACGCTATTATGTGCGCCTCTCGCCTTGTCTAAGTTGTGTGTCTTGTGTAACTGGACCCCGTACGGCGTTGGCCGATCTAATTTGACAGATGGATCGACGGGAGGCTGCACCACTGGTTCCTTTCACATTGCTGCATTGAATCGATTTGGGCAGCTGGCAATTACATGCTCCCTATCAAGTCTCGCATAGTCATGATTTCGTATTTATGTGTAGAGTCTTCACGATGCATCTGATTACGTCAGTAAAGCCGGGCGCTGGAACAGTTTGGATTGAATACATATCGACACTGAAGTTTCGCACGTTGTACAACAGGAGGAGAACATGACATCCCAGGTTTCACTCAAACCGGGTAGGACGGCCGATCGTCCGGTCTGCCTAGCTTGGATCGATCATCTTGCATGTACCAAGAGACCCTTACATGGAACCCAGGTATGTTTTTTCCGTCTTGCGTGGAAAAAGAGAAGCATAGGCTTGCTTCACAAACCATGCATGCTATGAAATAGGTAGAGAGGCGAGAGAGGGTAGGTAGGGGCAAGGCATTGAATGGGAGCCGGACCCACCGCACTACATGGACGATGATTGGCGCAGACTTCGAGGTCCGGGATGTTGCAAACCGGCTGCGACAGACAGTCTTTCGTCTCGTTCATGCCGTGTTTGGAGACGACAGATGATTAAGCGTAATCGGCACTACACTGCTGGAGGAAGAGCGGGCAGAGAGCGAGAGGCGTGGGGGAGTGGTTACCGGCGTCTTGGTGCCGACCCGTCAGGTGAGGCGGGAGAGCTGCTGGGCGGGAAGGAAGGCTATCTGCCTAATGAGCAACAGGTCAATCATCTGAAGAGTCGAAAATTCTGGACTCCATCCATAAGCTCTTCACATCTACAGGTCGTGATAGCTAGGTCAGTGGTGTTTCGAACCATTGAGACCTGCATCTAAGTCAGGAAATGCTGAATTCACACATGCCGGCCCGGCCAGTGGCAGAGGGACAGCTCTTCCTGCAGCCTGCAATGCAGGTCCGGCCGGGGGTGGGTTCTTGTTCTTGGGCGACTGCATGAATGCGGGCACGCCACCATACACGACTTGGAACCGCGAGAGTCAGCAGGACCAGGCGAGCCAGGGAAGAGGGCTCGAGCGTCTGGCTCTCCCTTCAGCTCGTGTGCAAGGAAGAAGCTTTTGTGCTCTTCACAGGTAATTTGCTTCTGGCTCTGTTGTTGTTGAATCCCCCCCACCTCCCTTGCACCGTTGGACGCAATTTCGAGCTGTTGGTCTCACTGCACATCGGTCGGCCATTTTATTTCTCTCGTGTCTTACAACCGCCGTTGTCTCTGCCACGCAAGTCACAGGCCATGTCTTGGACACAAACCGCCGCTAAGCAGGGCCAAACGGCCACCAGGTCAGCCAGCTAGTTGAAGCTAGCTCCAGCTTGACGTTAGCTAGCGAGAATAGCTGAAGAGCAGTAGGTGCAGCAGTAGCTAAATATTGAGGGGCAAATCTTGTCGGTCTTTGGCTTTGGTGTGCACAGGACGCCATGCCAACTCACTGGAAGGTCAGGCCGGACGTGCCACAGCCAATGGTGGCCTTGTCCGGGCTCAGGATCGACCGCGATGGCTGGCGGGTTTGCTGCGTTGTCGTCCAACCTGGTTGGCATCCAGGCGTCGTGGACGAGTAGCGAGGGCGAGCTGGCCCTGGCACCCGAGCTATTCACCCCCCCTGGCTCACTGGAAGCAGCCCCATATTATGCATCACATTGGATGGTGTGTGTACTTTGTATGCAAGTGACATGGGAGATGGGAAAGTGACGAGGGGCACATAGAGAGACGGAAGAAAAAAAAGGGGGTGAGAAGGAAAATGTGGGGCAAGCACTTTTTGGTTTGTGGCGCCCCTTAGCGGACAGCTCCTCAGAATCTTGGGAAGAACTCATTGAGTGATTACGAGGAATGACGATAAGTCTTGATAGACTTTGATCTACCGATGTGTTTCCACCGGTAGATTCATTCCGAGTTGTTGTAAGTAGAAGCTGGCTTATCTCGGGTGTCCCGTCCCAAAGCAAAGTACAAGGAAGGGCAACGTCTCGGATTACCATGAACAGTCAGACGTATCAAAGGCTTGCCGTCCCGCATTAACAAGAGCTTGAGCAACAGCAACAGCAACAGCGGAGGGTGCTGCAACTCGCGGAACGAGCCGTGTGTCACTCTCAAGAGAGTCAGTTTGGAGGTAGTTGAAGAGAAGGACCCCTTTTATTCAGAGATGTTGAGGCTCTTCAGACGGAACATGGGCGTTGTGAGATTTAGCACTCGTTGACAGCCCTCTGAGGCGTCATGGTTGGTTATATAAGTCAAGCCTGGCGACGCTGGATCCACGAATGCCGAACAGTTGGACTCTTATATCTGAAACAGCTATTATAGTATAGTATAGCGCGCCTTTTATTCTTAGACCCTTCGTAGTATTCGATTGGAACGAGCGGCCAGTGATCATGACATGCACGCACATACCGCGTACATACTTCGGCGGGGTCGGGGAGATGGATGGATGGATGGACAGACAGCGAGATAGCCACTCCAATCATACAATCATACTGTAGATAGATGCCTTGGTCGGAGATGGCTATGACATACCAAAGTAGAAGTCGATACCGTAGTCTACAGCTCCATCATCATCATCATCATCATTATCACCATCACCACCACCACAATTCATTCCTTCCCTCTCGTCGCTTTATCAAACACCCAGCAAAGTGACTAGCACAGACCCGGCCAGTCATTCCATTACTGTGTACTCGGCTCCCCCCACTGCGGTCTCTCTAGCTTCCGCGCATCATCCACTCTGGCCGCGAGTAGTACGGCGGCGAGCTGTTACGGGTTCATCCTTCAATCTTAACCCAAGGAGCAAGGCCGGCCAGCCAGTCCAGCCAGTCCAGCCCACCCAGCCGATCCCGTCCTCCCTGTGAGCGGTGCGCTGTGCGCTGCGCTGGACAGTACAGTACCAGTATAGTACAGAACTACCTAAGTGTGCTGCTCTGTGTGTTGCTGCTGTGCGTGCCTGACCAGCTAGTCCCGATTTGAAGCATCCAAGATTAATCCAGGTACCGGCTCGCAGACACCAGACCCGAAAGGTACACGCGCGCTGTACTTGATTGAATCTCTCTCTCTGCAAGAGAGTTCGGCATCAATTTCATTAATTTACGCCCACCGCTGCTTGTCACTTCACTTAGCATCCCAAAGAGGGCTCTTCCTTGTCATTCTTGTTAGCCCCTGACCAGCTTTCCCTCCTCCTCCTCCTCCTCCTCCTCTTCTCAATCTCCTCCTTGTTCGTTGTCGCTGTCGTCGTCGTCGTCGTAGTCGTCGTTGTCGCCCAATTCTTCTCTTTCCCGATCATCACGGCCTGCCTCATTTAATTCCTGACGTCTGCATAACGTTTCTTCTTGACAGCCTCATTTTTGTATTTTGACATACCTTGCCCATCTTGATACCTTCGATACCCCAGTCAGTCAGCCTACCTAGATTCGCTCGCTGCAGCCCATCAGCATAGCGTGGGAAATTTAATCGCAGGACGCAGCAGCGAGAGCAGGGGCCCGCCCAAACCTCCCAGATCGCGCAGGTCAGCTCAGCTCCTATTGCATTTACTTTTTTACTGCGTCGCCGCGCTCGAGGACGCCCAGCAGCAAACGCGACAGAAGCAGCCCCACGAGGATATACCATTCCCACTCATTTTCAATTCCATCTACGCAATTCAATCACACGCCCCGGTCCCGCACTTGCGCATGTCTCAATTTCGCCAATTCCCTTCTTCCTAAGCCTCGAAAAACAACCTGAACCCCCCAGCCGACGAGGATGCCCAGCATCTTCTCCCGCCTCAAGGGCAAGGACGGCCCGACCAAAATCAAGTCCAAGAAGAACGCCCACCTCGACAACCTCACCAGCCAGCTGCCCCCGAAACCGCGATGGGAAGATGCCTGGACAAGGGCGACTGTCGAGCCTGAGGAGATTCACGAATTGATCAAGCGTTGCACAGAGGAGCTCAAGGCTCGAGGTATGACATCAATCTCGCTTCCTCTGCAAGCTGCCATCCCCTGCAACATCTTCCATCCGCTCTTCTTACTATCTGACTATGCCGTGCGCTGACCTTTGATGAAAGCCCTCGACCTACCATTCCTCCTACTACCTTTCCGACCAACCTCCGATCCCAGTGCAGTGCGCACCTTCGTGCGACACTTCTTCGACAACAATGGAAGCTTGCGAGGCGAGCCTCTGGCCCAAGAGCTGCGGATGACCGAACCAATGGTGCGATTGAATCTCTCGTATGTACTGCGACATTAATTGACCGGATTTAGGTTATCTCGGGAGTGATCAAATGGTGCTGGAGCAGATTGCAGGGCGGCATTGTTGGCTGGGACGCCTACGAGCTGTTCAAAGTGGGCGAGCAAGGTACGGACCGAGTCGCGAAGCCGACGCCCGAGAAAACGCGTTTGACTAACGATGGCGGGAACATCCAGATTCTAACATGGCACGCGATTCGTTCAAAACGTTTATTCCGCTGAGCGTGGAGAACGGGGCGCGCTCGAGCATTATCTTTGACTTTTTCGACCTCCTGTCCGCACTCGCTGCACACGGAAAGACGAACGGTTTCGGAGGGCGCAAGCTGTCCCGGATGGCGGCATGGTGGACTTTTGAGCACAAGGACACGGGCAGCGGCTTCGACGGCGGCTATAGGGCCTGGCTAAGGTGAGTTTGAGCCGTGCTCCGTTCCCCATATTGCGCCGTCGTGGAGGAGGAGAAATAGGAGCGAGGTGCTAATTTATGTTTCTCCAGCGCCGCCGATGCCACTAGTCACTTGTTCTTCGCCTACCTGCGCTCGCTAGCGCCACAGCCGAGCCGCGGTGGCATTTCGATGCTGCCCATGTCTCTGCAGAAGCTCCTCCAGGAGACCGAGTACCCGCCTCAGACGCCCTCGCTGCTGATGTCATCAACGAACAGGGTCCAGATGATCGTCGACACTGTCTCGCCCACACCGTTTGCCCTGCTACGGAGAGCCAATCACTTTCAGTATCGCGACGAGGACAGAGCTCTCAGGGAGTACTCCGAGTACGAAGATCCAGTCCAGGCCCTGACGGAGGAGTGCCGTAGAGTTCTTAAGGCGATTTCCGCGGCGAACCAGACTCAGGCTGTCTCGAGCTCCAAGCACTCTACTAGCTTACGTGATGCATCATGGTCACGATTCGAGGACATTGGCTTTACCGGTACCTTGGACGAGGAGGATGAAGACGAGGCGGCCAGTCAACCTGCTCCCCGGAGGCCGGGTCTGAGAACAACCCCGGCATCAGGTGCAAATCTGGGCAGACCGACCACGCCGTCGTGGGCAGACTTCTTATCATCTGGATTTGTCGATGACGCACCAAACAGCCCCTCCAATCTTCTCCTGCCCCCTGACAAGATCCTCCCGCCAATTGATTCCACAGTACGACAACGCAGCTCTCAGTCTCACCGACCTAGGCTCGAGACTGAGCGTCACCTCGAGCCAGGCGAGCTTGCCAGCATTATCAATTTCGATCTAGATGACTCTTTCTGGTGGGTATGGATGGCAAGTTTGGCTCCGGAAGAGACAGCCGAGAGGAAAGCTGCTTTCGGCCGGTGCGCGGTCATCGAGACCGTCATTCGAACCGGCCGCTGGATCGTGATGGAGGAAATGGTCAAGGGAGCGGCACCGGAGCCTGCCGCAGGCGCTTACATTGCTGAGAAGAAGGGCTTCTTCAGCTGGACCCGACGGAACAAAGGCATCTCTCGCAGCAAGTCAACCGGGCAACACGCCCTGAACAAGGGCGATAACGGCAAGCTGAAAACCAGCGCCACCATGGGTTTTAGCAAGACCAGCATTGGTCCGGACCAACAGGCTAAGATTCAGGCAGCGGCAGCCCAACTGCAGGCCAAGCAGGAGCGCGAAAGGCAGGCAGCAGCAGCGCAGCAGGCACAGTCCACCCGGCGCGGTCGCAATGATACGGATCTCATGCACGAGAAGACTAATAGCGTGATGACTCTTCAGCCAGTCATCATGAGCGAGGCTTCGCCGGCGATGAAGTGGGCGAACAAGTATGACAAGGAGGCTATCCGAGAAGCGTATCTTGCAAACACGAACGCTGGCCGTGGCATTGCACAGTCAACGATGGTGACAAACGGTACTCATACGCCGGCTACGAATGGCTATGAGTTGAGACCAGAGCCTCCTTCCAAAGCCCCATCATTACAGCCTCAGCCATCGCCATCAATTCTGCCTACATCTCCGTCCCGTCAAGAGCTGGAGGTGGAGCATCCCGCCTTGGCAGAGAAGGCTGTGGAAGCACCAGCGGACTTGCACCCAGCAGTCGTCCCGGTACGCAGCCAATCACCGCTACCGCCGCTGCCTCAGGAGGAGCCTGATAGTCCTGAGCTCGCCCGCGAGACCATGGTCTCTCCTGAACCCGTCAATCTCAGCCCAAACAGCAAGAAACAGCAGAAGAAACTCCACAAGGATATCAAGGACAAGGAGAAGACTAGTGGTTTCAGAAAGCTATTTGGCCGTAACAAGCGGGCCTCCAAGCTTCCCGAGAACGCCGCTTCCGATATCAACGGCATGCTAGCTCAACAGCCGCCACCGGCTCCTACACCGGAGCCGACTCAAGTCGCACCTCCTTCTCCTCTTCAGAAGCCTGCGATGCCGAGACAAGAGACCGAGTACGCAACTCCAATGGAGACAATGGAGGATGCTGGCGAACGCACACCGATTGCTCAGACTCCGGGCAGCTTCCACACGCAGGATCAGCCGTCGTTCCAGCCGTCATACGCTCCGTCCGTTAACGATTCGATCTCCCGCGTGGACACCGCAGACGCGGCGGAGGCCCATCACGAGTTCTCACGCTTCGACCAGGGCCCGCTGGCTGATCAGCCCGCCTTCTCACCTGCCGATGATTCAGACAATGAGACTGACGACGCGATCCCGCCTCCGATTGCTAGACGCAAGGCGCCGTCGCCTTCGCCTTCCCCTGAGCCTGAGGTCACACCGACGGAGGAGAAGCCGAACCCGGTCCCGGTACAGGACCGCTGGGCACAGATCAGGAAGAATGCCGCTGAGCGTGCCGCGCAGCGCCAGAGCGAGGAGCATAGCCGTGGCGGCCAGAGCAAGACTACCGATGATGGTGATGATACAAGCGGAGAAGAGAGTAAGTGTTGATGCCAGACTTAAAGGGTACGAATGCTAATCGACCGACCAGCTATCGAATCCCGCGTCGCTCGCATCAAGGCTCGTGTTGCTGAACTCACAGGAAACATGGAAGGCACCAGCAGCCCCGGGAACCGAACACCACCCGTTCGTCGTTGAGTTGGATGGACGCTCCCCTTTTCTTCAATCATATTCAATACTAGTCGCCGATAGCGACCAAGTAGACGCACTTTTTTCCAGATCTTTATCGGCGATTTTCTTTTCATGCAAATCAGAATACCCTCGACGGACTTGCGTGGCATAATACTGTCCTTTGAAAATTTCTAAAGCCTAATAACCATTCACCGTCCCGTCCAATTCTTCATTTCTTTTGCGAAGAAAGCCTGCCTCAATTCGACACATTTTTTTGTTCCCTGGCTACCACTATTACTAGTACTACCTACTATTACCGACGTTTTTAAGATGATACCACTAGAAAAAGCCGTCTCTGAGTATTTAGCACAAAATGCAAAGCAATGCGATTACAACCCAACATGCAAGCAAGCAAGCCCGCCCATCTCCGTCTTTCTTGATTTCAATTCCGATAACTCTTTTTTTGTGGTGGGGTGGGGTGGAAACAGGGCTTGGAATGATGGAAAAGAGACAGCAACATGCTTCTGGAGGAAAGGGGTTGCCGGATTGATTACTTCTTGGTATCGTTATTGTGCGAGGAACACTACAAGTTTGAGCGAGCCGCTTTCCCACGGCACATCTCAGTTTGGCTCGCTTTTGAGAGGATTGATTGATGCAGGGCTCCTTGCAGATCGTTCTAGTCTTCAGAAAGCTAGGGCCAGCTGAGAGGCGGTTTGGGGGGCGCGACCGATGTTGCAAATGGCAGTGGGTGACGTGGACAGTGATGGCGAAAGACATCTAGCAAGCTGGTAGTAGCAGGGGGGAGGAGATGCTCTTTGGTACTAGGCGACAAGAATTCAAGTTCCGTTTTCTGATAGTGCGCCATTTGAAACTTTGGACGGGAGATGATGATACTACGGGCCTTTCAAACGAGGTGGGCTGCTGGCCTAGGCTGGGCGCCCCTGGGTTCAGCTACCAGCCTCATGATCATCATGGCTTGCATGCTAATGAAGGTGCCTAACTACTCAGGAAGATGTTCCTTTGCTGCATAAGTCATTTGTGCAGGGTGAGACCTGATGTCGCTTTTATGATAGCATAAAAAGTAAGTGGCAAATATCCCCCCTTTTTCAGTGAGCCCACACCAGACATCTCCACTGCGGCCGAATGCATTCGCTGTATCGAACATTTCTACATGTCGCTCCAAACAATCACATAGCACTCTAGCATAACGACCGCCTCAGGATGAGACGAAAGCATTTCCGATGGGACGTAATTCCTTTGTAGGCGGTGTGGTGGCCATGGAGGGATGAGTCATGAGTCACGGCTGTTGGGGACGCCCAGCTGACCGGGCGTCACCGGCTTCAAGACGAGAAATGATCAATCAATCGCGCGCGAAGCTCGCTTGGATGTTTCCGGCTCTGGGTACAGTACCCGTGCAAGCTGAGGCTCATCATTGGTCAACCTATATATAGGTTGAAAAACGACAGAGTTAGTTTATGTGAGAAAATCATCCCTAGCGCCAAGGCTATCTTCCTTGGCAGCAGCAACACCCTGGCCCAGGGGTTGAAGCAATTTAGGGCCGGCAAATGATGCTTGGCTACTTGCCCTTGGGCAGAAGCACCAGTCTCGCCTCCGTCGTCACGGGGAGCAGCGTCGCCAGATCCATTGGCCCAGAGCCGTTGCAGAGCTGCCCTATCCACTCCTCTTCGAATGAAGCTGCGACAAGTCCAGACCAGACCAGACCAGACCTGTTCTTTGTGCTCCCAGTGTTCCCACGGTGCGTTTTGCCCAAAACAGCATGGTTACTGTTCCCAGAAGTCGGGAAGATCAAAGCGAGCTGCGCGCGATTGATTCATCATTTCCCGTATTGAAGTCGGTGAAGTCCGGTCAGCCAGGCCTGTCTTGCAGGCTTGAAATGTTCTTTGTATCGGACAAATCTGACACCAGTCAATCCGGCCAGTCTAATAGTTCGGGCTTGGCAGTTCTCCGATTTTCTTCAGTCCGTCTTCAATCATTTCTGGCTGTTTGTGCGGCTGCCTGTGTGTCAAATGAAACCTGTCGGATTAGCAGACAACCATTTGGAAAGTGGCTTGCATCCTTTGACTTTGTCACTTATGGAAAATGAAAACCAACTCAGGGGCTCTGTGTTTTGTCATGAAGCCTTTATCCAGCTCAGTTCTAAGCGGTGTGGGCTCTGGCGTGGCAAAGCGATATTCTTTGAGCCCGGTTTCGTGATGGACACCTACAGGATTGCAAATGGAGACTAAATAGAGGCTTCAACTGACGGGAAAGAGTCCATGGAGTTTCCATCTTCTCTAGGGTACGGAAGACACCAAAAACATTGATGTTCGACCTGCAACAAACGAGAACTTGCCATAACGTTGCCACCATGACGACCAACGCCAACACTACGACGTTACGGCGCCTTCTTACTCAACCTAAGCCGCTTGCATTCTGCAGAAACGAATCCTCCAGGAATGGCCGGGGCAACTGGCCGGAGTTTTTCGGAAATTCCATCCAGAAGTGGCACGAATTCAATCTCCAAACTCTCAACGAGAGCTACGGCCATATCCTTGACCGTGAAGTACCGGAGTCAAGACTATCGATGGGCTCACCCAACCAGCTGCTCACTGCCGTCGGTACCGCCAGACCCGATATGATCAAGTGGAACTATGAAATGATCCGCAACACTCTGGGGCTTGCCAAGGAGTTTCTCAATGTTCACAACGGCATCTCCCTACAACAAAGTTATTCAGCCCCAGACAAGTCGACCCTTGCAAAGATCTTCCATCCAGGGCGCCCGTTGATTGCGGACCACATGGTTTCTCTTGATGAATACCCTCTTCCAAACCTCGTCGTTGGTCTGGGAAAACCAACCTCGAAGTTCCACGCGAGGGCACTAGCGGATCTTGGAGTGAAGACCACGTTTGAGAATAAAAAGCCCCTGATGCAGCTAGCGAACCTGTGCAAGGCCGCACAGACTCGGTACGGATATATTTTAACGGAAGAAGACATGTTGGTGTGCTGTTTCAGCGAAAAAATACCAATGAACAAAAAGGACACGATGAATGTTGTGATGATGGCGATCCCATGGTCCAGGCATGGTCAGGATCAGCTCACGACCGACCTTGCGCTGTGGTGGCTTTCTATGTTGGCGATGTCGGCCCCGGAGAACCGCAAGCTAGTGATGGAGGAGGAAATGATCAAAATCGATCAGTGGGAGCACAAACAGCTGAACGAGCACCACTGGGTAGATCGTCATCGCTATTCGAAATTCGAAAAGTCTGCCAATCCCCCTCCACCCCCTCCACCCCCTGCGACCGGCTCATCCACCCAACAAAGCACCGCTGCTGGATCCAATGGTGGTTCTTCACACCAAAGGGCCATCTTCGCGACTGGTTCCTATCTCAATTTTGATCAGGACACTGGTACTAGTTTTGGTGAATTTGAATATGAGGCATTCTTCAATCCAAGTAATGACCATATCTAACCTCGATATGGTCAACGATGGATGGGGACAGTCAAGCGGCAGTTCAAGGTAGTGAGGTGAAGGTCTCAAGATGGGAAAATAGAAACACAAAGATAATTTTTCATAGGCAAGCTTGCGTTTAGAGCTGAGGAAAGTAGAAGATTATGATAGCCGTATTTCGTCTCCCTTATGATTCTGTTTCAAATTTTCACATCTTATTCGATTATGGGCCTTTAGAGCCTAGTGAAGCACAAACTCCTCTATTTCAGTGTCCCTTAGATGCTAGGGAGCATGAAGTACCGTCAAACCTCTTGGCAGCTTCCATTTCCAAGTACCGTTGAAAATGTTGCATCATTCGATTCCTCCGTGTCAGCCAAGGGCAGGCACCAATTTGTTGTGATACGTTGTTTTCCTCCACCTCTGGTAGTGAAGATGGGAGTGGTAGTAATCCCCGGGTGCGAAAAATATCAATCAAGCATGACAGGTCATTATGGAATGGTCAAGTAATCTTCGAACGATAGCGGGATGCCACTGGCACGATAAAATCTAAGGTGACACAAAATTACTGCTGTCTATTCCACGGATGTTGCTCACAAGCACCCCCAACACACGGGAATAATACACCCTGCTTAAAATCCCATTCCGTCCATCTGGCAACTGGAAAAGGTTCCCTCAGTGCCTTTTCTTCTTTTTCATCGCGTGGACGATAATGCCACAAGGATGGTCTAGAAGTTACATTCCGCCGTGATAGAGAGCCTTGACCTTGAATCACTCTCTGCTTACCCTGCACTTTCTCAGACCGGTTCTTCTTGGCTATTCTTCCCCCGCTCGCTTTTGAAGTCGGAAGACGAGATTTCCACTCATACTTTCTCGGGTCAACAAACGTGAAGACACGCCCCTCTGCAGCCTTACTTCTTAAGTTGTATCTGTTTTGACACCCTTTGAAGTCAGGAAATGCGGACACGGATAGCTTGCCTTTCTCTTTGGCATACTGCGTGTTCCAATCAAAAACCATCCAGTCGAAACCCCGATAGTCGTCCAGGGATTCTCGAAAGGTGTAGCTTTCCAATATAGATATCATCTCTGGAGTAAGGTACGGGTTGAGTTCGGGGTTGGTCAGGCAATGGGGTACAGTAACGGCGACGCTGAAATCACCCAGCTTTCCATCGATGAATTGGTCGCTCTTCAGGTCGAGAGAGAATATACCAAGCTTTTGTAGTTTGGGGATGGTACTGAGGATTTTGCGTAGGAACGGTGCCCGCATAGTCTTTTCTTCCTGTACTCGGCCCAGAGCTTTGACAATTCCCCGAACCGGTGGAGGCTTCCCACTCTTGCCCAAATAGCGGGAGCGGCAATCCTTGGGTCCATCGTCCTCGTCGAGGAGTCCCTCGAAATGGAAATCCACGTGGTTGAAATGATTCTCCAGCTTACGCTCGTGCTCTTCGTCCAGTAAAATATACCCAAATGCCTGAACAGCCAGATCCTCGTTGCCAGTCTCTTGAAGACGACCATAGGCACGGCATTCGCAAGTGAACGGATCATAGTAGTTGTAGAAAGCAGTGAATAATTCGCGGTCGTAAACCGAGTAATGCCCTTTGGGACTATTCCATTCATAGTCATATAGGAACGTAAACTACATTGCGTCAGTTTAGAGCATCAATAGGCAATGTTCATTGAATAAATACCAGTTTCAATGCATAGAGTTGGTCCTTGATTTGGATTTTCACAACATGTGAATGTAAGCCAGAGCCGATGTAGTCGATAAAACGGATGCTCTGTGGGCCTTGAAAGTCAAAGGCTTTCAGCTTGGGGCCGTCGCACAATGGTAACGGCACCAAGTCGGCATCAGATTCGGGCCAATCTGGATACATGGTAAAGGCAGAGTTCGCAATGTTTCAATTTTTGTCGAATGTGAGGATGAGGACTCGAGAAAATGGGCAAGCAGACTGAACGGTTCGCATTACGATTTTATATAATCAAGAAACGAAGAGCGGCGCCGACTATGTCTGTCATGAAAGGTGTGCAAACCTTATTGACGCCGTCCGAAAGCAATATGCTCTTGATTTGCTATTCAAAGGAATATCGAAGGAATAGCTGAGGTACAACAATGGAATCGGAATGGAATCTGGTTAGTCAGCAAGCATCGGAGTGGCCGTCACAACAAAGAACACCCGCAAACGAGACCATGTGATTTCTGGCTTTCATGACTGTGTTGGCTTCATCTGTTTTCCCTTCTTGTAAATCGGGGATGCTGCCAAAGCATGTCTTTGTACCGTGCTCATCTACCTCCGTTAGCTGAACTCATTTGGTTTCATTCCTGGTGACTGACGACGGACATTTCCGTTAGAAGCTTGGATTCATTGCTAGCGCTACTTTTCGTGAGCGTTCTGGGAAGGCCGGGAGAACCTTGGCAAATGTTTCCAGGTGTGTAAACTTAACCGATTGCCATTCGCAGGCAGGCAACGAAGACTCCCTATCTAACTCATTAGGATGTCTCGTGTCTGCTGCAGATCTAGCGATCACCTTGACGAGGTCAATCTCACCTCACTTGATAGACAAAGGTCCCAAAAAGTATCGACCGAAAATTCTAGCCTCTTTGTCATGACCGCCGATGGCGTCTCTTCACAAGCTCCATCAGCATGTCGCGGCAAGACCGAATTACTTGTGCATTGCTCTTCAATGGCGACGGACATGATTTACCAACCGGAAGTAGATGCTTGGTTCAGAGAGGCCTCGCCCGGTAGCCTGGTGTGATGATTGGGAGGAATTGTTCTCGCACTGGAAGATGATCTCGTGATTTGTTTCAGCTGGGGGGTCTTCGTCTTCAGGGCTAGTCATCGCTGGTCCAGAAGTGGAGGAAATATTTGTCTTATAGGGCTCGCCAATCTACGAGGTTTTGGGATATGAATCCATCTATCGATTTAGACTTCTCAACTGCTCAATATTCAGCTAGACCAAGCACCCTCAATGGACTATCCGTTGGCACTTCAGTCGGCCGTCCGTGATCTTTCGCGGTTGTATCTACTTGTATGTCGTCTTTGCACGTATCGTATTTGAAATATCTACTTTTAGCACGTTAATAATGATGTATTGATCATATCGTTCTAGAACAAGCCCCCAAAGGTACGATCGTAAGACCATGTACATGTCCATTGTAGCACGTCCACAAACCCTCAACGTTCCAGCGCAAAAATTGTGTTGAACTCAAACGGCCCGGCATCCAACCTCACATTTTCAAAAGGGGGAGGCCCACAGGAACCCGATCCAAGACCTTGCTGAGCATAATCCAACGAGAGTTGAAGCTCGTCAATCTGACGAAGTTCTTGAGGGTGAGTTGCCCGATCAATTCCCTCTTTAGTATAATTACGAGCCGTGAAAGCAAACGAGGACCCGGTCATGCGGACTTTCAAGGTAGGGCCGCATTGTTCAGACGACCGGACTTTCAGCCACCGCACATCACTTCTGCTACCATTCTCTTGGGGCCACTCATACGGAACGAATAGATCAGCAATAGAGGAGTCGTACTGTCCAAATCGCATTGCCTCTTTCTTGTCGGGATAACTTTCGCCAGGCCCGCGGCCATACCAAGATACACGATCGTATGTCTTAGGCATAACCAGGTCAATCCCAATACGGGGGACAGTTTGTGGATGAACCTGGTCTAGCTGAAAGTCGCCAAGAGTTTTCACGTGAACTTCTGATCCGTAGAGTGTGTATTCAATTGTTCCGTTGACGGCCCATGCAAGGACAGGAGGTGAAACCCTTACAGTGAAGGTGACCACTACAATACCATTGGCAAGCGTTTTCCAAGTGCACTTTTGGACGTGACAGGAGGTCTCGCTCAGGCGACATTCTCTCCATTCAGACCCGTACCCCCCAAATCCGATATCGTTCTGGGTCATGGCGCGGTAAATGCTCAACTCAGGACCACGTGTAATGATGGTTCCTTCGTCGACGATCCACTGGAAACCACCACGAACAAGATCGAAGATAAATCGTGTTTGTAGGTGATCTGAGAATACATATAGACGCCCCAACTTCTCTTCCACTATAAAGCAGTCACTATGTGATAAGGTTTTCTGCATGCTAGAGTCGGGCTGAATTAGCCTGATTCCATCTGATTGAAGAGGTAGTGGCACTTGGCTCCAGGCCACCTCATGGTCCATATCAGCCCAATTCGTCCCATGTCTAAGCTTAAAGGATAAATCAAGCAATAGATACGTTGTTCCAGGATTTCTGGGCTTTAGAGTGTGGTTTTGGAAGCACAGTAAGCCACTTGAGTTTGGTCCAATCGATGGCAGGCTTATTTCGACTGGTTCCGTGGTGAACTCCCCGTCTTCGTTGATGGACCAGTAACAGGAAAGATAACTCAGATCCACGAAGAAGTTATGATTGTCAATGCGTAGCTTTCCAGGTTCTTCCCAGTTCCCAATGGTTACAGGCTCGATGACCTTCTTGTACTCCAAGAGGCCCGGATTGGGTGTATGATCAGACCATAGCATACCGTCTAACACGAAGTCGGCGTCGTGGGGACTGTCACCAAAGTCGCCACCATATGCATAGTAAGATGTTCCATTTTTATCTCTGGTTAGGAGTCCATGATTTGCCCATTCCCAGATGAAGCCGCCTTGTAACAGTTTTTGTGTGCGGAATGCATCCACGTACTCCTTCAGTCCGCCAGGGCCATTGCCCATCGCGTGTCCGTACTCACATTGAATCAGAGGACGGTCCGTCTTTTTCTTCACAAATGAAAGAAGATCATCCACAGAATAATACATTCCACTATAAATGTCCGTGGTGATACCTTCTCGGTCGCCTTCGTAGTGGATCAATCGTGTAGGGTCTTTTGCTTTGATCCATTGGTACATGACTGCGTGATTTTGACCATAGAACGCCTCGTTTCCAAGAGACCACATTATAGTACACGTCGAATTCTTAAACCGTTCAACGAGCTGGATGGCACGGTCGAGGTAAGCCTCTCTCCATTGCGGGTTATCCGATGTCCACTTGCTGGCCACCTTATAAACTTCTTCTTGCAGCTCCAAACCAGTGAGATTGGGCCTGTCTCTGGTTACCTTGGCCCTCTCTGGAGGGTCAAAGCCATGACATTCCAAGTCGGCCTCATTAATAACGTAGAGACCCAACTGGTCGCAAAGATCATACATTCGAGGATCGCTAGGCTGGTGACATGTCCTGATGGCGTTGATATTATGCTGCTTCATAAGTAAGAGGTCTTGTCTCATATAGTTGTAGGGAACGGCTCGGCCGAACAGAGGATGATGCTCATGACGATTGGTTCCATAGAATATAATCGGCTCTCCATTGATAAGGAGATTAGCGTCACGTATTTCGATACGACGGAAGCCTACTCGCTGTGCGATGATCTGGTTACCCAACGATAGTATTGCTGTATATAGCGTGGGACTCTCGGCGGACCACAACTCGAGATCTTCGCCACCAACCTCGACTGTTAGGTCAAGCACTGATGAAATTGAAGCCTGTTGCTGGCTTAAGATGTGCCCGCTCGGTGATAAGAGTTTCAAAGCTACCTTGCTAGAACTCTCGCCTCCGTGTGTTTTGATGGTGGCTTTAAGGGTGGCGTGGGTGAGGCTGGAATGAACACCAGGATCTATGGTGTAATCAACGATGGCCTGTTTTGGGAAGGCGACGAGATAGACGTCTCGGAAAATTCCAGAGAGGTACCACTGGTCTTGATCTTCAATGTAACTGCCGTCGCAAAATTTGTAGACTCGAACAGCGAGAGTGTTGGCCTGGCCATCATTGTGTAGCTTCTCTGTGATGTCGAACTCGGAGGCATTGCGACTCCCTTGACTATAGCCCACCTCGTGGCCATTAATCCAGACGTGAAAAGCACTGTCGACACCCTCAAAGCGAAGCCGGACAGAGTGGTCTACCCATTTCCGGTTCATGATAAATCGACGGAAATATGAACCTGTCTCGTTTTCCGCCGGGATGTTGGGTGGATCAACGGGAAATGGATAGTTAACGTTGGCGTAATGTGGGTGTCCGTAACCTTGGAGTTGCCACATGCCAGGAACTTTGATATCTTCCCAAGTCGTGGGGTTAACATCTAGCCAGCTAGGTGCTTCGAAGGGTGACTTGTTGTAGAGAAACTTCCAGACGCCATTGAGACTCTGGAAATATGTGCTATGCTCTCGCTTGGAGCTTAGCGCAGCGTCCTCACTCTGGAAGTGAAGGAAATGCGCACGCGCGGGGAGACGATTTCGATGTAGCACTTTTAGATTCGCCCAATCTGGGGTCTGTGAGGGGAAAGACATGGTAGTCTTGTCCAGAGCGGCAAGATTTGAGGAAACCGGGAGCTTCTTGTCTCAAAACAGAATGGATAGCAAAGTCGACGCAGATGCAGAAAGTATGAGTCTCTTGCTTTCATTAAACAATCAATAGATGTCCTGCAAAAGCACTGACTATTGAGATGTCGGTTGGTTGTCCGTGAAACGTTGAGGGAGACTCTCAGTCTCGTGCAGAAAAGAAAAAAACAATATCTAGAACCGGGACTTCTACCAAGTCCCGGTCCACTTGGTCAATAATTAGCCATCGGATATTTCTGTTGATGATGGGAGATTGCATCGAAGAGGATTTTGCCAATAAACCTCATTCCTTGCATGAGCCGCCAGTGTGGATAGAGGATTTTGTGGCTTGAATGGCTCATAACTATTGTCGTGGGCCGGAACTAGTTGATGGTCATGCCGATATTGGTCACGAGATTGCAATATTGGTAACAGGGTGTATCTACTCATAATGCTCCCGGTTGAGATCTGTTTTCCTGCGCACGTCGAACGCGTACACAACCGATTGATGCAAAGACCGCCACCGCAGTTTTCAGCCCTTG